CCCTGACCCCTCCTCTGACCCTGCCCCCTGCCTCAGCCTCACGACAGGGAAGACCTGATACCTCTGGGCCTGTCCTGCAACATTAGCTGCCTTTATGACTCTGGCTACTTGTCCCATTTTTACTGTTTAGTGGCACAAATGCCCGAACCCCAAACACTGATTCTGCTTTGCTGACAATAAGCTGTACAATATAAAAGGATATGTATGACTATAAAGATTTGTAATGTGTATTAGAGATAATATTTCTCTCAGTTTATTCACACATATCTACAAACTTCACTGTTTGAGATTATGTAGATTATATTTACATTTGATAGCCACACACTGGAGTCGGTGTCCCCATGTTACGAGAATTGAAAGGTCATTGGGGCAACATCATTCTGCCTTTTTCTGTAATCCGTGCATTTAGTTTCTACTCACAGACACATCTTAATCTGGCACCACAGTAATAGGATTAACAAAGGTTGTTTTTGTTTAAATAGTCTTTTTTTATGTTGGATTTCTGTTGTGTAATTGATACATTTCTTGGTGGCTCATCTCATTTGATTCTATTTTGTTCCCATTCACCGATCGTGTTCCCAAGTCTGACGTCTTGGCGCAATGCTCCTGATTACAAATTACAGAGCATTTATGGGGTAATTAACTGAACGTTTCCTCTTTAGGAGATGCTTGGCAGTCTTCACTCGCTCTGACGCTGTAAATAACATTGTGTATCTGCTTTCACTCACTCCTCCCTGTTTCCGGAGTGATCACAAGTTCAGACAGTATGGCGAGACATAACAACAGCTAAACTCCCAGGTATTAGCAAACTGAGGACTCAATCAGAGCATTAATCTAAGCATTAATCTGATCAAGGCTCCCAAGCAAATGTCCCCTATGGTTTAATGGGGTGCTCTAGTGGGGTTATAATCTCAATCTAGACCTCCTGGTGGAGGGTAGGCAAAATCCAAGACACAGACAGTCATCTGGAAACATCATTTAGTATCACAGCCAATTTTTAAAACTGCCCCACTTTGATCCACCTTCAGTCCTTCTCTGTTATCACTCAATTGTCTCAGAATGAACAGAGGGAAATTAAGATGTCAGGCTGTGGTTTGCTTGGGTTCCTGTCTTGTTATCCATTTGTACATCTTATACTAGTTGAACTTCTGGGGTAAAATCAAAACACTTATACTTTTTGTGACTGCTTTTTGCTTAGTGCATAATAGCATTAGTTATTATAAAATAACGGAGTAATAATGAGGGTTGTAGTACTATGCCAAAAAAAAATACCATAAACTGGTGCTTGTTCTGAGAGAGCACTACAGACTATTACACTACAGACTAGTGTGATCTTATGGCCAATGTATCCCTCAAATAAATTATAATCACTTACTTTTATAAACACTATTCTATTCACAATTCTTATTTGTTTTTCTATAATTTTATATTATAGAATACAGGAATCGAAGTAACCTACTGAAAAAAAAAAAGTTAAAGTACCCAGCCCTTGTAATATCCCCAATGTAAAGGCAGCCAGTGTGACTTGGGTTTTTGCTTAACCAAATATTGATCTTATCTCCAGTGTTTTATCACACTGCATTGAAGAGTATTTGCCTTTAGAGCAGCAGCTGAACCTGAGTGCTGATATATTTCCCATTAGTTTGAATGTATTTCCTTTTCTGTTGTAGGTTGGATGCGTTTGCTTGAAGCACCATGAGCACCATCTCCCCCACAGACTTTGACAGCCTGGAGATCCAGCAGCAGTACAATGACATCAACAACCGCTGGGACCTGGCCGCAGAGACCGACTGGGACAATGAGAACAGCTCAGCACGCCTCTTCGAACGCTCGCGCATCAAAGCACTGGCCGGTATGATGCACACACAGACACATGGTTAAAATAGAACCCTTGCCATGGTGATTAACAATTTAAAACTAAATATTATATCTTTGGAATGGGAAATGTCCTCAATAATGGGATAACCTGCATATAACAGGAAACTGAAACCCATGAATAAGAAAAGTAATTATTGCTTTAGTTTTATCATGATCTATTTTTAAACTCTAAAGATGTTAGAATAATGTAGCATTATTGTTGCGTTAAGCATATCAAAATATTGACCATTATGAGAAATGAAATACACACATTTATGCTACAAGTGTGGAGTAATTCATCAAATGGATGGCAGAGATACATTTTAAAAGGAATTCACTGGTAAATGCAGCAAAACTCTAATTAGGTCCAGTGATTTTAGGTGAAACTTAATTTTGGTGTGTCCCAAAAGATCAGGACAGAAATACATGAAAATGAGGACAAGGCCTAAAAGCTTCACAGCAGATATGAGGGCTGTGGTTGCTCTCCCATCCCAGTGGCCCAGTGGCTGATGAGTTCAGCTTTGGATCACCTCAAACACAATCTACATCTCTCTCAATTATTACTCTCTTCATTTACAAACATGTTATAATCTCATTCTCATACCCTGCAAAAACCTGGAGTAAAGCCACTTGTCTAATCTACACAAGTGTCACAAAAACATTACTCGTAAATTACTTTAGTTTTTTTTTCCTCTCTAAATGAATTTTTACAGTTTACAAGTAATCATGATTTCAATAATAAGCCAAATAATTGCAACTCTGTCGTAATCAAGCAATCCTACTCAGTGAGATCACTGAATTGGCATATTCTACAGTTGGTAGGTTTACATGTCATTGTGTATTTAGTTTGGATTCAGTGTTGTGTTGTTTCCCGTTGCAGAGACTATCAAAAGAGTAGTAGTCCCATACCCACCCCAGCAGAGGGCAGCATTACACAGCCATATACCCCATTTAATCCTGCTTATACACAGAAACGGCTACTGTACTGTGAGCGCCACAAGAGTCAAACCAGTAAAAGATTAAGCTCATTTCACTTTCAAATACAATAACCATTTCCTTAAGTAAACACTGGATACGAACTTATTTCTAACAGTGCACTGCATATTTTTCTTCATTGTAAATTGGGGGTGGCAGTCGTGCAGTAGTCTAGTTAGTCCCATGTTTTATGTATGTTAATGCTGTGGGCTGTGGGGCTGCTTTGAATACCTGTGATACCATCAGCGTGGGACAAGTGCAGACCTGAGAGCACATTCTTAGACATGCCTCAGCGGCTCATTGCCCCGGGGAACACCTCCTGCCTCCTCCACTTCTCCCCAAATATCAGGACCCTGTGCATGTCGTAAGCTACTGCTGCTGCTTACACATGATGCTTTCTCAACTGTGCCTTGAGATTGTTTCACTTCCGAAATGATCACTCACTCTCACTGATGTTTTTCCATGACAGATCTATACTTTTAACCCCAAACAACAGGACTGCACAGTTTCTCACAATCAGATTTAAATTGCAGTTTGAGTTGAAGCATTTATCACATTGTAAAGGTCTTTTTGTAGAAAAGTCTTGCTGTGCCTGAAGTTTATGCCTCTACAAACTTGTTCTGAAATTTATGGGATTCTTTTATTAATTTGTATAGTTAAATTACCAGAATTAATTGTTTTTCTTCATTCAAATGGAAATTCTTAAATGTATACTGAAAATCGAATAGTGGTGCAGAAAAATCGTAATCCAGTTTTATTCGAGAATTGTGCAGTCTACCAACAGTATATAAGTGTAATGATAATCATTTTCATTGAAGAATATATTTATTATAGTATTATTAACTTGTTCCCTCGAGCTTTAGTTTGCTGGCAGTGTTTAAATATGAATAATATTAATGCCCTCTGCTCGTGATCAAAACTCCTCCTCACACCTCCCACCCATCTGCTTCCAGCCTTTATTCTCTCCAAAGTGTCATCAATTATTCATTCATTTTACACATCATTGCAGCTTCTTGAATGTCTCAACTTGGAAGACAAGCTCCGTTCAAAACTTCACACCAAACATAAAGTCAACAGGATGTAAAGTATAAAACATATGGCTTGTATCTTTAAAACCAAGAGTTGTTTTTCTGATTGAATGCAGTGAGTTGGCTCTCATTAGTCCAGTCCACTTCTGTAAAACACCTTGTTACCAAAAGACCAGGGCCTTGTCCGTCTAATGAGATCCATCCAGATGCTCTCTTGCCATTATGAGCCCATACATCAAAACCACCACCGGGGTCTTTACTGGAGACCCCCGGACAGTTATTCCCTTCCCTCCCCAATACACAGGACCTTTTTGACCTTAGGGGTACAGACCAGCGTTGTGATTATCAACATGTATTTCCTTCAAAGTCCTATATTACGCAAAACTGACTCTTGTGAGCTTTAAGCCAAATTAGAATTTTGTCACCTCCTCCAAAGCATACCTGGGATTGTGTTTTCTTTCTTTTGCACATGTTTGAGAAATCAATTATTTTTTATCTGTCTACATGTCCTAAGAACAAAATGCTCTGTTCCAGCTTGTGATGTCATGTAGTGGTAGTTTTCAAGTTAACAGCTGCCTTTTGCCTTTATTTCAGTTCAGTAGAGATTGGCAAATCCAGGGCTGAAATCATCCAAATAATTCTAGTGAAGGTGTATGGAGTTTAAAAACACAGTGGAACACTTCCTGCATTACTACATGACATCACAGGGTGGGACAGAGTGTTTTCTGTTTGAGAGAAGTCTAAATATGCAGGGTTTGTATGTTAAACATGTGTTAAATGAAACAAAACACAACTCCATGTGTGTTTGTGATAAGGAAAACAACATTGTAAGAGATCAGAAAACTATATAGGCCTTTTAAATGATTAGTAGGATATCCCAAATCATTTAGTTATCACAAATTTGACTATTACCGAGCTGATTTAGGTGACAGCCTTGACCCACCTGTTATTAGAGGAATACAAACACACAATACAAAAGTTGTGGCAGGAAAGCACTCATACTGAGGCTCCTCTATGACTTCCTTCCTGTGTGAGTGCTATATCAAACGCTGAAAATGTTGACAGTAAAAGCTGTTGTGAGCAACTGAGTTAGATGACACGCTGAACATATAGGTCCTGGCAGGCCACTCCCAGTGCTCCCAGGAATTAAGAAGAGTGGAGTAATCCTCCTGAAGCTATAGACAGAGAAGAGCTCTAATGGTTTAGTCCACCTCCACTCCTCCTCCCCCACTGTCTCTTCAGTTGCCCTGTGTGCGCTCCTCCCTCTAACACACCTTATGCAAATGGCACCATTTTCAGTGGGCCCAGCAGGCTTTGTTTACACAGCCATCCGACCACAGCCAGTTAGCTGCTCTGCTCCTACATTTGGAGGGAAGGACTCGACTGCTCCTTTACAAGGACCACAAGGGACTGTGACCACAAGTTTTGACTCCAGTTGGAGGCCACAAGTGTGGTGAACTTCTACACAAGAGGAGGTTAAAGGAACATTTTGTTCTTCACTTTAGTTTGTGAAGAATTTTTTGAATTGGATCTTCCACGCCTGTGCTGGGAGCTGTGTTTTCATTGGACAAACTGGTGCGTATAGTTAAGAAAAAGGAGAGGCGGCAACATTTTCAAGATTATACTGTGTCTTAAAGAGGCATAACAGAAAGAAGGAAATAATCTTGGACATAGTTATTTTGTCTTCGGGACTGTTTGGTCCGGAAAGGCTGCCTCTGCTGGGCAATGCTGGAGTTATCCCCATTCATTTGACGTCTGACTGAAATATTGCGTAGAGTGAGATCAACATGGAGTGGGAGCAGAGGGACAGAGAGCCCTGTCTCTCCCCAGCAGCATTTGTTAACCAGGTGCAATACTCCAACATCCTGGAGGGCCGCTTTAAACAGCTGCAAGGTAAGATCTGCACCGACGTGCTCCTTTGGATCACAGAGTCCCAGAGTTGAGGCCTGTCACCATTTCAGTCCAATTTTTATGTGACTCAAAGACAGTGGTTAAAGTTGCCTTTTATTGTGGTTCACACAAGTATGGTTAATATTAACAAATGATAAGATAACAAATTTACTCGAACAGAAGGAAAAATAGTGCAGACTTCTTTATAGTGATCTGCTCCAACAGCAGGTGCTCTAGGTTTGATAAGACTCAGCATTTTTAGCTTATATAATTAAAAGTGAGCTCTGAGAGACTCCTCTCATACTATATAAGTATACAGTATACATGCGTAAACTACAGTACACATATACTGTAAACTGCTGCTGCATTCACTCAGCGAACTTCAGATCAGCTTTAAAGCAGGCGGCAGTCTGGCACCTGATCACCAGCCACCTGTCCTTTTTTATCTTATTACAATGCATGGCTCTGTGTCCTCGGCTGTACAGGTACAGCCACAGAAATCAGTTATGGTTCAAATGACGACGGAGCTGGCTTATATAATAGCAACATGAAAGTCAATGATATAGTGTGCAAAAACGTGTACCCGTTATTTAATATGCTTCAGTGATTAGATTTTATCAGTTTACAAACTGTAGAAATCAAAGTAAAATCAAATACATGACTTCTGTCTCGGGGTAAGAATAGAGTGGGACCTGTTGTTGTTTAATGTCCCGCACTAAGCCTATAAACTCTAAGTCGCTGGCACATTGAGGTGTTTGAAGTGCACTGTACCAGCTCATGCATATCGTACCCACGAGGAGCCTTCACATCCGGTCCCTGCCCGACACTCGTCTGGGGCTGCACTTTATGGAGAAGTTATGCTTATTACATATTTTACATTCTTTTAGTCAATATAAAATATTAAATAATTAAAGTAGATTTTTAGTTACAGTTGAGGGAGCTACAGTATAATAAATTAACATCTCCTACATAATATACAACATGAACTGATTTTTAATTAAAATGCATGATTGGCTTCAATGTTATAATGGCAATGGATCTCCCACATGTATTGAAAAATAATAGTGAGTTCTGTGTGCTCAGTACATGAGAAAGACCACAGCCAAATAAAGTCCTTTAAACTGTATTTAGTGTGTAGATGTTGCTGTCATGGCTGTGTACGCACATTACTATCGCAGACACAAACACCTTTTTGGCTACACCTACTTGTATTTCCAGTTTGACTTGCCTTGGGGCTCATTCTTCATGTCACTCCCTACCTTACTGTATTAAATCATGACTTCAGTCTGCTCATGTGATAAAGGAGAAATGTGCGCATACACAGAATAGTTTGAAATCATCTTGATCTTCTCAGGATGCCTGAGTTTATTTAAACAGTGCAAACTCTGGAAAACATTATAATTAAAGTCAGTGGTATTACTTTTTTAAAAACATTTCAGTTCAACTGTGGTAATTACATTTACCTATATGAGAGTATAAAGTGTAAAGAACTGCTCACGGCACAATTGTCAAGGACATGTTCAACATTACTTGCCCTTATCCCAAAGCATGCAGGGAGCTGGACTGAGCAGTGAATAATTTCCTGGTTAATATATAAATGATAGTGTAAGCTGGGTAACGCCTCAGGCCTGCTCCATAGGGTCACTGTCCGTGCTTCCACCGACCTCTGAATTAGCTGCCTGTGGACTTTGGAATGAAATGTCACTCTGGTTTACTTAACCAGAATAAACATAATTTAGATACCACAGTCAACGACCCCCTTAAACCTTAAACAAACTGTCACTATTTTGTCTATTATATTGTCTTTTCACAGGCCATATTCATATTTTCCCTTAATATTAAAAATTAACCACAGAGAAGGTATTGGTTAACAATGACTAAATATCTGTGTGCTGCACTGACTTGAATTCTTGGACTTTCCTCTAAGTTTGATGCGTAGCTGAGGTCACTGATGCGTTTTGAGTCAAGTTCCACTGAACTGTATCAAGTAACTGAATATCACCAACACCATTGAAAGCTGTAGCTCTGTGGCCTCCAGCTGTAACTCAGGGTCACATTACCCACAGTTCATTGTGTGCACACAAACTCACACAGATGGTTTTTTAAGGGTTTTGTTTGTACAGTTTGACCAATATTGACAGGCTTCTAGGTCACAAGAAGGTGCAGCTTTAGAAGGGTCCGGAGCAGTACAGTGCTGTTGATAGTTGACACTGTTTGGTCTGCAGATGTTGTGGCTAAAAAAGTTTCAGTGGCATCTCATGGGACTAGCCTTGGGCTGTCCTCTCCACTGTCTCCTGCATTATCAGCAGCAGCTGCATATAGTGCAGAAGGTAATAACCTGTTACTAGCACCAAAAGGAATAAAAACAAGTGAAAAATGCCACTATTTTGGAAAAAGTTGCACCCATTTTTGCTGAAACCTCAAACTGTTCATTTGTAAAAATAACATGTGCCACATGTGGAAGGGCAGCGGTTTTGCAATAGTCCTCTCTCAATGTGAGAAGAGGGGGAAGAGTGTAAACGCCCACAGACACTTCAAAGAACATGCATATTTTTACAGTTTGTCTTTTCAAGTTTCATTTGATCCGAACACTTAATACATTTCACTGGCAGGTATGCTATTCTAGTTTAAACTATTAACTCTTAAGCTCTCATTTATCAGAATCCATTAGTTCATTATACTGTAGTGCTCATTGTTTCTGTAGCAAGCATCATTAAAACCATGGTTACCACAACACTGGCCACAAATCATATGTAAGTATTTCTTGTTTAGATTTGTGTAAAAGAAACATCTCTAAAATAAATTTGAAAAACAAACACACACAAGTCACGTAAGCACTTCATAAAAGTTCTGTTATTTATATCTACATGTTTGCTTGAATTAATATAGGGAGATTGAAACGATGTGGCACAAAAACTTGACACAAGGCCATACATAAGTGAGATATACACAAGGATGTTTTCTCATTCTTTGTGAGGACAGAGTGACCAGAGACTATACACACTCATCGTGGGTGGGGAGGGAGATTTGAGAGTTTGTGGACTCAAAGGCATTCCAAAACAGTTCAAAACGGGTGCAGCACATGACCTGGGTGGGTGACAGGAGGAGGCTGCAGTTAGCAGCTAGAGAGTCTGAGGTTTTCTTTCATCTTTGTCAATAAACACAATGGCTGTGCCAAGAAACTAGACCAGATCTGCAGAATGCATTATTTCTGTGAAAGTGCAGCCTGCATTAGTCTTTTTATAGAAGACTTTCCTGGTGCTCAGTGCTGAGGTGGCACTGGAGGAAGCAGAGCACTGTCATATAACACACAAACACAGGAACAGTGCAATATTAGCTCTGTGTGAAAGAGCTGTTTGTCCACTTAGACCTGTCTGTCAGAAACCACAAGCAATTAAATTATTTTATGACAGTCCTATGAATAAATGCACTTTTTAAAGTTTCTGAATGATCTGTTAATTCAGAGAAAATAAACAGAGAAAACAGTTTATTGTGTTATTGCTGAATGTCAGTTATGTGTCTATGTACTAAACAAACAGATTAGCTCAGCAGCATTTTTTCTGAGATTAATTGAAGATTACTTTTATTATCAATGACTGACCTTGGCTAAACAGAAAGAGATATGAAGAAGCTCTGGTATCTGAACCTAAATCCCCCAGGACCAGTAAACCTAAAGCATCTCACTACTGAGAACCCAATTTATTGTGACTAACTAGACATGTTCATATCTGCCTTTACACTGTCGGTCTTGTTCATGAACAGATAATTGGCTTACTTGATAAATGAAAATACACCTTCAAAAGAAAATAGAAGAATTGTGGTTTAGCAAATCTAATTGAGTGTTTTATCTTGATCAAAATCTGTGTGAAACTAAACCTGTTTAGGTGCATGTGTCTACAAAATATGAGATTATACTGTAGCTTAAAGACGCCTTAGCAATAATTAGAGACTTGGCGTGTGTAGCTGACATTTTCCCACTGTCCTGTGTTTTATCTCTTATGTCAGAGTGAAACTATGTTGGCACATCGCTCAGGTGTTTTCAGAGGTGCTGACGACATACAGAAGCTATGGCTCCTTTTCTTACAGAGATTTGGGCCCTCAGCCTTCTGAATGTGATAACATGAGAGCACCAGCCCTACACCAACTAAACACTTCATTATTCTCTACAGCTGTGGTGCTTATCTACCTCAGTGTCCGGTGGTGGCTGTGTTTGCTGTAATGAGTAAACATGTCTGACACAAATGCTCTGTTTGCTCCTGTTGTCATGCAGTAGCCTTGTCATTAGAGGCACATCAACACCACAAGCATGTTTAGGGACCACTGCTCTCTGTATTCTACCTGGTGCTTGGGCTGTTCCAACATGACCAAGCTATCATAAGAATGCAACCCTCCTCACTTAACACAGCATTTGGCCGGCTTTATAATGGGTGCATAAGAAGCCTAACTTCTGCCATAGAGTGGCTTCTGCCACAGTGGTTATATACACAATGCCCCAGTATCAGAATAGAGTTTAGGGGAAGTACTTAGCTCACGGTTACGGTTATATCTTGTGGTATTTCTTCACCCTCCCTCCTGCTGTTTGAAATTTCAAAATCAGTTAACGGTCACAGTTATTTACCCCTGTCACTATTCATTTGTGTCTTTGTGCAACACAGTTACACTATAATATTGTTTTGTAGCTGTTATCAGCAGCGTTTTTGCAAGGATCCATTCATCCTAAGCATCGTTATCTCATTAGCAGCCGGAGGAAGGACTTGGTTTTGTTTAAGTCATTAGTGCAAACCTGCTCATATGATCTATTTTCCGTCAGTCCTGGTTTGCGTACAGCATTGTGCATTAAGTACTATGCTTCACCGATCGTCTTTTAAACGGCAGAAGACTTGTGTCCTAGAAATGAGGTCACCTTGTTAGGTGGCGGTGTGGGATTAGCTTCTTACTCCCTTAGTCCATATGTCTGAGCTGCTGTTAACAGCTTAATTTATTGTACCTCTTTTTAGTTCTTAATGCAACGAGGAAAATCTTCTTCACACACATGGGCATTTTTGCATAGTCACACCAAAGCTTTTCTGTAGGTAATTGGCATTGCACCCACAACCACTGCCTTTGGTAAACTAGGAGTGATCTCAAAGCTGTCACTAAATGTGACAAATGGTGTGTACATTTATATGGCCAGTAAAAATCAGTTAACTTCAGTAAATAAATAACTCAATAATCTTACATGCACAAAAGTAATCTAGTCATCAAAACTGGTAAATATTAAAATTACATTTTCAGTCTTTAACATTTTCACTTTCATTTTTACATTAGTTTGCCCTTTTTGCACAATTTTCCTTGTCAATACCTGTACAAGTTTGAACAATCAGAGAAATATCCAATTACTCACATCAGATAATGATTACATTATTGGTGTGCATGTAAACACATGTAAAGCAGTTTTGTTTATTTGTGATGTGTGTGCTAGCTTTAACAGGCTTTCTATTCACTGTATTTCTAGCTGAAGTGTTGTTTACTCCATTTGAATTGCATTAACTGAAATGGGTAGTGAAATTTTGTGCTTTGTTGGTCAACTGTGACTGAACCTAGATCTTCTTTCGTGTATTTTACAGATGAGCGTGAAGCGGTTCAAAAGAAAACCTTCACCAAATGGGTTAACTCTCACTTGGGCAGAGTCACCTGTCGCATTGGTGACTTGTACACAGACCTGCGGGACGGCCGCATGCTAATCCGTCTGCTGGAAGTGCTGTCAGGAGAGCAACTGGTCAGTGTCCCCCAGAAAACCTCTTCTAACTTCTCCTTTCATGACCTAAACTATAATGCAACCATGCTCCATCAGCTTATTTCTCACATGTGACACTCATGTGCAGAGTATGTGGGAGGGGTCTTGATTTGTCAATATTTGGGTTATAAATGTCACAATACAGTAATATAATAATATTTTAAAGGATAATTGGGGAATTTTAGAAGTTAAAATATGATTTACGTTAATGTATACACCATAAGAGCTTAAATGTAAATTTAATTTATGTCACACTAATTATTTTCTTTTCAGAAAGTTTGGTTTAAAAAAGCTGGTCACATACTACATAGGAATGATAATGATTTAAACTGAATGATGAAATTTTAAAGTGTGTAAGGATTAAGTATATATATGGTTAAAAGAAGTATTCATTCTAATCATAAAAAAAAATATTTTATAATATCTACATTTGCACTGCATTTTATTGAAATGAAAATTGACATTGTGACATTCCAACTAACTCTTCACAACTCTTCCCCCACAGCCAAAGCCCACCAAGGGCCGTATGCGTATCCACTGCCTGGAAAATGTTGACAAAGCATTGCAGTTCCTCAAGGAACAGAAAGTCCATCTTGAAAACATGGGGTCACATGACATTGTGGATGGGAACCACCGCCTCACACTGGGTCTCATCTGGACCATCATCCTCCGCTTCCAGGTAATTCTCTCTTCATTCAACAGCTTGTCCCAGGATCCAGCAGTCCCTCTGTGGAAGCTTGCCCATGGCTTCTCAGGTCTGCATGTTTTAGCATTCATCCACTGACAATTTGAAAAGAGATAACTGCTGCTGCAGTGTAATTGACCTGGTAATTATTAGTCAATGGAATAATCTGCACCTACCTTATCTTTTATTACATTGTTATTTTTACATTGTATTGTAAAATAAATTGTCAATGTAATGTTTTCAGATTCAGGACATCAGTGTGGAGACGGAGGATAACAAAGAGAAGAAATCGGCTAAAGATGCCCTTCTTCTTTGGTGCCAAATGAAAACTGCAGGGTAAGACAAGGGCAGTTTAAAAGGATTCTGATTATCTTAATGTGACCTCTGATTACAGATGTAGTTCAAGGTTAATGATCAATGTGTGATTTCACTGTTGTAGATATCCTAATGTCAACATCCACAACTTCACCACCAGCTGGAGAGATGGCATGGCGTTCAATGCCATCGTGCACAAACACAGGTCAATGACTCCTTCCTGCACTTTTTTGTACTATGCGTTCCTAGATGCACTGATATGATATAAAGTTGTGTTTTATGAAGATGTGGTTTACACTTCCCTATGTTTCAATTCACATCTCAAATTGGGCCTCATATTTTAAGATGACCTAGATCACAGAAAGACTAACCCACTTGTATCCCACATAGACTAATGCTGGCTGCACTCACTTGCATATCCTGCTGGCATTAATGGCAGTTTTAAATCAGAGATTTTTACTATAATAAATTAAACTGGATTACAGACTAGCCCATACACATAAATTGGTATTTATTAGATTAAACTAAATAATGACATTGAGATATAGAGTGATCAGAAATATTCTTATTAAATGTTTGTGTTTTTGTATAGACCTGATCTGATTGAGTTTGACAACTTGAAAAGGTCCAATGCCCACTACAATCTTCAAAATGCATTTAATATTGCTGAAAAGGATCTTGGATTAACCAAACTCTTGGATCCTGAAGGTATGTGCTTAAAATGATCCTGCATGTGGTGTATGAGAACACAATGTATTTATTACACTGCCATTTATTAAAATGCACATTCTTAGATGTTAATGTTGATCAGCCTGATGAGAAGTCTATTATTACATATGTGGCTACATATTACCACTACTTCTCCAAGATGAAGGCTTTGGCAGTAGAAGGAAAACGTATTGGCAAGGTGAGAAACTTTGTGACAGTAATGTCTTTTTTTCCTCGTATCAATGCAAAACTAAACTATGGTGTTTGCCTCAGGTTTTAGACTACGCTATTGAAGCAGACCAACTGATTGATAAATATGAGACATTGGCGTCAGAGCTGCTGCAGTGGATTGAGCAGACCATAGTGACTCTGAATGATCGACAGCTGGCTAACTCTTTGAGTGCTGTGCAGAATCAGCTCCAGGCTTTTAACTCCTACAGAACAGTCGAGAAGCCACCCAAGTGAGTCAAACCACATTCAATTTAATTCTTCCATCTTTCATGACTTACAATGAGAATTCTCTGAAGAATATTGTTCATTATGTCCACATTGCAATTTCTCCACAGATTCACTGAGAAAGGGAATTTGGAAGTTCTGCTATTTACAATACAGAGTAAAATGCGAGCTAACAACCAGAAAGTATACATGCCAAGAGAAGGAAAGCTCATATCTGACATCAATAAGGTAATAATTTCTGACACTTATTTTACACTGGGTGTGTTTTTAAAATGTTTTAAGAAGGCACAAATATAAACATTTTATGTCATCTCATGCAGGCCTGGGAGAGACTTGAAAAGGCAGAGCATGAGCGAGAACTGGCACTGAGGAATGAGCTCATTCGACAAGAAAAGCTGGAGATGCTCGCTGCTCGATTTGATCGCAAAGCAGCAATGAGAGAGACCTGGCTCAGTGAGAACCAAAGACTAGTATCCCAGGTACGGTGTCATAATATATCTAAAAACAATAAACCCTCTCTGTAAATGTTATTACATAACCTTTGCTTCTGTCACTAGGACAATTTTGGGACTGATCTTGGAGCTGTTGAGGCAGCCACACGTAAACATGAGGCCATTGAGACAGACATTGGAGCATACTGGGAGCGTGTCGCTGCTGTGGAGGCTGTGGCTAAAGAGTTAGAAGCAGAGAGCTATCACGACGTGCGCCGTATACTGGCCAGGAGAGACAATGTGCTTCGACTGTGGGAGTACCTGAAAGAGCTCCTCGCTGCACGAAGGGAACGCCTCAATGCTCACCGTGACCTGCAAAGACTGTTTCAGGAGATGCGTTACATCATGGACTGGATGGCTGACATGAAGGTAGGATTAGTTTAGAATCACGACTTTCAGTATACAGAACATTTACATTTTACATTACATATTTTTTGTTGGTTTTTTAGGGTCGCTTACAGTCTCAGGACAGTGGTAAACATTTACATGATGTATTAGACCTGCTGCAGAAGCACACACTGGTGGAGGCAGACATCTCGGCTCAGGCAGAGAGGATCAAGGGAGTTCAGGCAGCAGCCACTCGGTTCACTTCCTATGAACAGGGTGAGCCACCAAAGTGTTTAATGTAAAGTTTGTACTTGCATCAAATGTGTAGAACTGCTCTGACCTTTGTCATCTGTTCTAAATTCAGCCTACAAGCCATGTGAACCTGCTTTAGTGAGTGAGAAAGTGGACATGTTGGGCCGAGCCTATGAGGAGCTTGGTCAGCTTGCTGGAATGCGAAAAGAGCGTCTCGAAGACTCACGGCGTTTGTGGCAGTTCATGTGGGATTTGGGAGAAGAAGCTGCTTGGATCAGGGAACAGGAGCAGATTTTGGCCAGTGGAGACTGTGGGCGAGACCTCTCCTCTGCTCTTCACCTGCTCAGCAAACATGAGGCTTTCAGGGATGAGATGGCGGCTCGCTATGGACCACTCAGTCATAGTATTTCTGCTGGAGAGGCATTAGTGAATGAGGGTCACTTTGGAGCACCAGAGATCACAGAGAGAATCCAGGACATCCGGGCACAGTGGGCACATCTGGAGGAGGTAGACATCATTGCTCTTTGTACTTTGACTTTGTCTTGTCAATGGGAGTTTTGTCTAAATAATACATTTGTGTTAATGTGTCTTTTCTAGACAACCAAGCTGAGAGAGCAGCGTCTGAAGGAAGCTGTGGCTATGCACCAGTTCGAAGCCGATGCTAATGACATGGAGGCATGGCTAATGGAGACTCTTCGACAGGTGTCCAGTCAGGAAGTCGGCCATGATGAGTTTTCTACTCAATCTTTAGCTCGAAAGCAGAGAGAGGTTGAGGAAGAGATCCATAGTCACCGCCCTCTGATTGACTCCTTGCATGAGCAGGCCCAGGCCTTACCCCAAACCTACACAAGCTCTCCTGAAGTTGGTGTCATTTTTATACATTATGTCTGACATGTGTTGATTGTATCTGAAATCAATGACTTATTGTTTTTAGGTGGAGGGTCGCTTACCTGCAATTGAACAGCGCTATGAGGAGCTGGAGACGCTGTCCGCAGCCCGTCGCCAGGCACTGGAGGGGGCCTTGGCCCTCTATCGTATGTTCAGTGAAGCTGATGCCTGCCAGGTTTGGGTGGAGGAGAAAGAGCAGTGGCTACATGGCATGGAGATCCCTACCAAACTAGAAGACTTGGAAGTAGTGCAGCAGAGGTACATGAAACCTATTTTATCAATTCAAATGTTAAATGAGTCATTTATTACTGTGTAAATCTGATGTGTAGATTTGAAACACTGGAGCCAGAGATGAACAACCTAAGCAGTCGGGTTAATGATGTGAACCAGGTGGCTGAACAACTGCTGAGCTCGGACAGCTGCAACAAGGACCAAATTCACCAGACCAAAGACCAGCTCAATAACAGGTCAGCTATCAGAGTTTTCTAGTATGACAAAGAGGGAAATATTGAAATATTTTAGAAAAAATGGAAAAAAATCTAAAATATGCATTTGATGTGTCTAACAGATGGAAGGACTTTGAACTACTGGCTGGCCAAAAGAAACAAGCCCTGGACTCCGCTCTTAACATCCAGAACTACCATCTTGAATGTAATGAGATCCAGACATGGATGAAGGAGAAGACCAAAGTGATCGAGTCCACACAGGGCTTGGGCAATGACCTGGCTGGAGTCATGGCTTTGCAGCGCAAGCTCACTGGCATGGAGAGAGACCTAGAGGCCATTCAGGTATAGTGGAAATATCCACAGCTAATGGACAGTATTTGAGAATGATTTCTATTGAGATTGTTTGTTCTCACAGGGAAAACTGGATGACCTGGAAAAAGAGGCAGAAAAGTTGGCCTCAGAGCATCCAGATCAAGCAGGAGAGACACAGCGAAGACTTGCAGAGATAAAGGAAGTTTGGGAAGAACTGAACTCAACAATGAAGCGCCGTGAGGAATCATTGGGGGAAGCCAGCAAGCTACAAGGTTTCCTTCGAGATTTGGACGATTTTCAATCATGGCTTTCACGCACCCAGACTGCTATAGCATCAGAGGACATCCCCACCTCTCTGCCTGAGGCCGAGAGTTTACTAGCACAACACGAGAGTATCAAGAATGAGGTGGATAACTACAAGGACGATTATGAGAAGATGCGTGCGGTTGGTGAAGAGGTGACTCAGGGTCAGACAGATGCCCAGTACATGTTCCTGGCCCAGAGGCTCCAGGCTCTGGACACAGGGTGGCATGAGCTTCGCCGCATGTGGGAGAACCGCCACAGTCTCCTGGCACAAGCATTTGATTTTCAGACTTTCCTCAGAGATGCAAAACAAGCTGAGGCTTTTCTTAACAGCCAAGTAAGTGTATATGACCCACAAAATAATACTAAATAGAGCAAAAACGGAAACTTAGTACTCTGTCCTAGTGGTGGAGACTGTCACCCATTCATAAAAAAATAGTACTCATTTACAGTGTGTGTTTATTGATTGAGTGCTACTTTAAATGTATAACACATGGACTCCCCTTTTCTACACAACAACTTTCTCAAGTATAACATTTGACTAAAAGATAACCAAAATCTTGTGTTTACTTGTGTCTCTGTAGGAGTATGTGCTGTCCCACACAGAGATGCCTACCAGTCTTCAGGGGGCAGAGGAGGCTATCAAAAAACATGAAGATTTCCTCACAACTACAGAGGCCAGTGAGGAGAAGATAACTGGTGTGGTGGAGGCAGGACGGAGACTCATTAACGACGGCAATGCAAACTCTGATAAGATCCAGGAGAAAGTGGATTCCATCCAGGAAAGGTCAGGGCAAAAAACAAAAAGTTTAAGTTTCAAAACAATTACAGCAAATAAATACTTTTTTTTTTTACTTTATTTTAGGCATCTCAAGAATAAACAGGCTGCAAACGAGTTACTATCCAAGCTCAAAGATAACCGTGAGCTTCAGCACTTCCTTCAAGATGGACAAGAAGTAAAATAATGTTTAATTTCATTTGAAGGTTCAATGAAAATATAATCACAAAATATTAATATGTGCACCCTTATTTTTCTGCAGTTGACATTGTGGATCAATGAAAAGATGCTAACCGCTCAGGATATGTCCTATGATGAGGCTAGGAATCTTCACAGCAAATGGCAGAAACATCAGGCATTTATGGCAGAGCTGGCATCTAACAAAGACTGGCTGGATAAAATTGACAAGGTTTGTGCTATTCACTTTTTTGAATCTTTATTCAGGCTGTATTCAAGCTGTTGTCTCTTCCATTTTTTACCAGGAGGGCCAGGCTCTTGTGGCAGAAAAACCTGAGTTGAAGCCTGTGGTTGAGCAGACTCTGGAGGATCTGCAGAAACAGTGGGAGGAGCTGGAGAACACCACTCGCACCAAAGCGCAGTGCTTGTTTGATGCTAACAGGGCAGAACTTTTCACACAGAGCTGCTCGGCCCTCGATGTCTGGCTTAAAAACCTAGAGGGTCAGCTACAAAGTGACGACTATGGCAAAGACTTAACCAGTGTTAACATATTGCTCAAAAAGCACCAGGTAAGTGTTGTTTTTCAAAAAGAACAATAGAGTCAATTATCTTGTCATAATTGTGTATTGTTTTGGTTTAGATGTTAGAGCATCAAATGGAGGTCAGAGAGAAGGAGGTGCAGTCTTTGCAGACCCAGGCCCAGGCACTTTCTCAGGAAGATGCAGGACTGGTGGAAGTCGATGGCCAACAGAGAAGAGTAACTGACAGCTTTGCACTGCTCCAGGAACCTCTGAGGCTGCGCAGACAGCAGCTGCTTGCCTCCAAAGAAGCTCACCAGTTCAACAGAGACTTAGAGGATGAAATTGTAAGTTAACATTAAGTATACAAAGATTAGTACTTTGTACAGGTATGAACTTCTTCTTTTTTCAGCTGTGGATAAAGGAGAGAATGCCATTGGCTACTTCTTCAGACAATGGAAAGGACTTGCCCACAGTACAGCTGTTAATCAAGAAAAATCAGGTACCGTTACAGATTTCTTTAAGATGCAGTATAACAGCTCTATAAACATTTTAAACCAAACTCTCCTATTTTATTGATTAGACCTTGCAGAAGGAGATCCAAGGCCATCAGCCACGTATTGACGATATCCACAAACGAGGCCAGACTCAGAGCCAAGTAGACGGGGAGAGGCAGTCTGTGCTCACGGAGCGTCTCACAGAACTGAAGGAGCTGTGGGATCAGCTGATGGCAGAGACTGACAATCGACATGCACGTTTACTGGAGGCCCACCGCGCCCAGCAGTTCTATGCTGATGCTGCCGAGGCTGAGGCCTGGATGGGAGAACAGGAGCTGCATATGATGTCTGAGGAAAAAGCTAAGGTATAAAAGATATACTTATATTTTACAAACAGTTGTACAGGTTTTATTCTGAATGTATTAAACCACAAACCCCAATATGACAGGATGAACAAAGTGCATTAGTGATGGTCAAGAAGCACCAGATTTTGGAACAGGCTCTTGAGGACTACGCTCAGACTATTCACCAACTTGCCAACAGTAGTCGCCTCATGGTCACAAGTGAGCACCCAGAAAGGTGAAACTACAAATAAATACATATTTATATTCAACCTATCCATTTATATTCAAGTTCTGCTTAAATTATGAAAATTACAAAAACTATTTTTTTCAACTAATGTCCAGTGAGCGAATAACTTTACGTCAAGCACAAGTGGACAAGCTGTATGCGGGGTTGAAGGATCTGGCCGAGGAGCGGCGTGGTCGGCTACAAGAGAGGTTACGATTGACACAGCTGAAGCGGGAGGTGGATGATCTGGAGCAGTGGATTGCTGAGAGAGAGGTGGTCGCAGGCTCTCATGAACTTGGACAAGACTATGAACATGTCACTGTAAGTTTTCAATAGATGAAATATGTACTTAATTCTAATTGAGCCCAGTGTTATTCTTTTCTTTACATTTTGCAGATGCTAAGAGACAAGTTCCGTGAGTTTGCCCGTGACACCAGCACTATTGGACAGGAGCGTGTTGATGGAGTGAATGCTCTGGCAGATGATCTGATAGAGTCGGGACACCCTGAAAACGCCAGTGTGGCAGAGTGGAAAGACGGTCTGAATGAGGCCTGGGCCGACCTGCTGGAGCTCATTGATACACGGACACAAATGTTGGCCGCTTCATATGAGCTCCACCGCTTCCACCAGGATGCCATGGAAGTACTCGGACGAATTAAAGAGAAGAAGGAGGCTGTCCCCTCAGACCTAGGACGTGATCTGAACACAGTCCAACACCTACATCGACAGCACAACACCTTTGAAAATGACATCCAAGCTCTAAGTGGACAGGTAGTATAAACTTAACGCAACAATAATGTCATTGTGACAGGATAAATGCTAACTCTGTAATAAATGTATTTACTCAGGTCAACCAGGTGCAAGATGATGCTGCACGGCTGCAGAAAGCCTATGCTGGGGAAAAAGCAGAGGATATTCAAAAGAGTGAACATGCAGTCACTTCTGCATGGGAGGGTCTTCTCGAGGCTGGAAAGTCTCGTAGGCTCCTTCTGCTGGACACCATTGAGAAGTTCCGCTTCTTCAACATGGTGCGAGATCTGATGCTGTGGATGGATGGTGTCAACTTGCAGATAGATGCTCATGACAGCCCAAGGTCAGTGTCATTACGTTAGAACACAACCATAGTTATGCAAATGTTGTATTCATGATAAGATCCTCCTGTGTCTCTTCTTTTAGGGATGTGTCCTCTGCAGGACTGGTTATTGCTAATCATCAGGACATCAAATCAGAAATAGAGGCCAGAGCAGATAGTTTCACTGCCTGTACTGATATGGGAAAAGCTCTTATTAATAATAATCACTATGCATCAGATGAGGTATTTTACATTGCTTTTACTCAATAATTGTATTATAGGAATACAATTATTATTGTAATTAATGTTTTGGTACCATTTTCTCTTTCAACAGATTAGGGAAAAACTGAATCAACTCCAAGAAAAGAGGGACAAGATAAACAATAAGTGGCAAGACAAGATGGACCATTTACAAATAGGTGTGTATTCGTCCACTGACAAGTGTGGCAATATCATTTATTGTTTCTCTGACTTTTTAACATTTGTTTTTTGGGGGGGGTTGTCTTTTCTCTAGTGCTGGAAGTGTTGCAGTTTGGGCGTGATGCATATGTGGCAGAGTCATGGCTGGCAGGGCAAGAGCCTCTTGTGCGTGCAGCTGAACTTGGATCAAATGTAGATGAGGTCGAGAGCCTTATCAAGAGGCATGAAGAATTTGAGAAACTAGCAGCATCATGGGAAGAACGATTTGTTTTGTTAGAGAAACTCACCACAGTAAGTTCAGTGATTAGATGTTTTTTAAATGAAATTGTGGTTTAGTTACTTTGCTCACACATCGTTGACCTCTTCCAGCTTGAGGAAAAAGAGATCCAGAGACGGCGAGAGGAAGAAGAGAGAGCAAGACGACCCCCCACACCTCCTCCAGTAGAAGCCCAATCCGAGGCAGAAAGTCAACCACACGATTCTGCTGCCAGGTACAGACAAATGTGAGAGACTGCTGAAGCTGTAAAAACACAAGTGACTCAAATGGCCTTGTATCTGTTCTCACACAGAACAAGTCTGGACCAAACCACCCTGAACCAGTCTGTATCTGTGAATGGGGTACACAGCGACAATGACACTTCTCAGGTGAGACATGCACTGTTTCTAATATATAATTATTTGATAGCCATGGATATGCACACCAAAAATCTGGTCATTATCAAATTTTTTGAGCTCTCAGATTATTGAAATGCCATGTAAACAGTTATATCTGGTGTCAGTAATCTGTCTTCTTTCTGGGCATTCACACCTCGGCAGTTTTGGTCATAGAAACCTTTTGCCACATTAGTTTGCCCGTTTTTGCAAAACAAAAATAAAACTGCAAATGTTAAAGATCAAAATTGTTACTTTTTTTAAAAAGTACTTTGTCTTAGGTCTTAGTCATAGTGCAGTTACTCTAAAAATCCAGTGCTTAACTGACTTGTTACAATTAGTTGTTTTTGATAATCACATTTCTTTTTTTTGTTTGTTTGCATGTTTACACACACACACACACACACACAGTCACGCACACACACAGTCACGCACATACACATGCACACACCAAAAATCAGATCAAATTTTTGGGTTATCTGATTATTCTAGCTATCTTTTTCACTGGATATATAAATATACCTAGTGACACTGTAATATCTTCCCCTTAATGTCTTTACATGTCATTGAAACATTATACATGTATCAGTATTTAATTTGTCTGTATGTTTAGTTGCTCATAAAATGTCTTTGTCCTAATATCCATTAATATTACATCTCATTTTGTTTCTGTACAAAACTGGTTTCAAATGTCACCTCTCTTGGTCCATTTACGTTTCCAAATACAGCTGATGAAAAAGATAAATGTGTGCTTCAGACAGTCAATCATAATATTTTCCAATTGCATCTTTACCAGCAGTCATTATCGCTATCAGTGTCTGTGGGAAAGAAATCTGAGCCTAAACGTGTCTATAAACCAAAGCAGCAGGAGCGTGTGAGTACTATGGAGTCCCCCAAACCCTTTGCTTAGATCCTGGCCCACCTCAGTGCTGTGTCCTCTGTAGAGAGCCATTGCAACCATTGCTTCATTTGATCATGCACCTTCATCATCGGTGTTTCCTGTGCTTATAGTCCTAGGTTGACTCTGTTTATAGCTATGTGTTTGTGCGGTACCTGTCCAAAGTTTGGACACACCTTCTCATTCAGTGTTTATTTATTTTTTCTTTATTTTTACTACTTCCGACATTTGATATACATACCAAAGTGATAAAATGTATGAAGTACATTATATTAGAAGATTTATGTAGCAAATAAAAAAGCTAAATAATGCAAAATACAAAATATATTTTTCTTTTTTTTTTTTTATATTTAAATCCTCAAAGTAGCCCTCGTTTACTTTGTCGAAAAATATTTTGTATAGTAGTTACTACTCTTTTTTATTTGCTACATAATTCCATATATCTTACTTCATATACTTGATATCTTCTGTATGTAAATGAAGAAAAAACAGAAAAAGAAAAGAAAAGAAAAAAACACATGAGATGGTGTGTCTAAAGTTTTGACTGAACTGAACTTACGAAGAATACTTTTGTACCAAATGTGACCGTGGTTAATATATCTATTAATATAATTACAATCTTGGATGTTTTCTATAAATGTTCTTACAGTTTGAAGTTTGGTTTGTATTTATTGTTTTATATACTATGTTTTAGTTATAATGTTTTCAAGCCAAGTATCATCCTGGCTTTCCATTTATGGCTGTAAAATTGCTGCAATGCTGTTCACTGCTTGCGCTCAGCCAGTTTTTCATTACTGTTCATTCATTAAATACTTGTGTTTTTTTTTTAACTGTAGGGCTCAGAGTCCGAGTCTGTGAATGGACCTGGTAGGGACAGTGGGCTGGCATCATCACGTCTGGAGCCTTCTGCAACGCTACCGAGCAGAGGAGCAGCCGAGTCGGAACCAGAGGCCATGGAGGGCATGCTGTGTCGGAAACAAGAGATGGAGTCCCACAACAAAAAGGCAGCCAGCAGGTGCAATACAATCGTTTACAAAAATACTTCATCAACCATACATTAGAATTAAACAAAGTTTATTGATCCACAAGGGAAATTATTTGGACACAGTAGCTCACACATCACAATTTACTCTAATAACAAAGAGCAAAAATATAAATGGTAATAATAAATAAGTAGCTGGTGTCAAATAAGCCATACTTATATAAAGGTACAGTATATGTACATGTAAGAAAAAAAGTATATATATATATATATATATATATATATATATATATATATATATAGTACTACAAATATATATAAACAATGCTCCAACTCTATTGTCTCTTGTTGCAGGTCGTGGCAGAATGTGTACTGTGTCATTAGGAAAGGAAGTCTGGGCTTCTATAAAGATGGAAAAAGTGCTACTAATGGCATTCCATACCACGGAGAGGTGCCCATAAGCCTCGGAGACGCTGTGTGTGAGGTAGCACACGATTACAAGAAGAGGAAACACGTGTTCAAGCTCAGGTGAGAAAAAAAAACACCAAAGAAGCTTAAGTGGCATTTTTGATATTATTAATTAAGCAATATATTCCAATCTACAGGCTGGGAGACGGAAAGGAGTACCTGTTTCAAGCAAAGGATGAGGTAAGGCTCACTTTTAAAATCAATAAACACATGTCAAGCCTAAACTATTAAAGCATAATGTGTCCAAATGCAGTTTTAGTGTATTCAGTGTTGTGTTTTGTTTCCAAAGGCTGAGATGAGCTCCTGGATCCAGTCGATCCTCACTTCCATTCCACCGGCTGCAGCAGACTCGCCCTGCGGCCCTAAGGTTCTGAGCCGGGCCATGACAATGCCTCCCATATCCCCAAGTTCAGGCGAAGCTGGAGGCGTGACCATGCGCAACAAGGAAGGCAAAGAGAAGGATCGAGAAAAGAGGTTTAGCTTCTTTGGCAAAAAGAAGTAGAACATTTGTATAATCCCTGGATGCTACAGTGTCAAAATTTCAACAAACTGAATAGTCAGAAAAAAGGTTCTGAGGTTTCTCTCGCTCAGTGCTCTCAGCGCAGATCCAGACAGATGCCGACAGCTGCTGTATGTGGCTCACAGAACATTTTCTTTCAATTTGATTCTTCCCTTTTACAGGATTTATGTGTCATCTTTATGTTAGCACATAATTTCCATTACATTTAGCTGTGCCGTTCAGTGATGACCTCCTCTTTTATTTACCTTTCAAGATGAATCTAAATGACCGTTCAATTGCTGCATGAGCGATTATTGATGATAGGTCGGAGGCTCTCCATTGTGCGGCACATCGTAGTTTTACATGCTATCATTTAGGGAAAGATCAACAGTCTATTTTGATATTGATGTTGTTTACCTGACCAATAATATTGCTGTTATTATTTTTATTTATCTTTTGGTTTGAAAAATAAACTAATGACTTTGACCGTAGATAATCTTGATTCATGTTGTGCAAAAAACATATTTGATTAAATTAGCAGAGGATGTTTTGGCTTGCCCCTTGTACGTTTTAAAAATAATTTTATTTTATTATGATTTCTTTTTAGGAAAGTCAGTTCATGAGGTTTTAAGAAATAAAGCTCTTTTATTTCTAGATGTGTGTGCAGTAAGTGACCATGAAATTTATTGAGAAACACACTACGATACAGTATATTTAATTAAGTGTTTTTTTTTTGTTTTTTTTTTACTTGCTTAAACTTTGCCTTTATTCTTTTTTCATTTCTTTTTTCTGCTTTAATGACTTTTAGTGTACAAAGCAGAGGGATTAGTTTTCTAGTGAGTGTGTGCGTGAGAGAGTTGTGGTGCTGTGAAGTTTGCACGTTTATGTTTTTATGAATCAAATATGGCCAGATGGACGCTGCTTTTTCCATGCGCAAATGCAGACAAACTCAAAAAGCCCTACTTGTATTTTTGGAATTGATATTGTTCTTTGCTTTTGATTTCTAACTGATGTAATTCGTGATATTTCTTTTTTCTTGATCATTAAAGTTCAGGGCAGAGTGGACTATAGACTAATGCTGAAGCACACTGTCTGATGGGGAGAGGAGCTGTGATGGGACCGGCAGTACAGAATGTGATGTACTGAGCCTTACTTGAACCCACTACACAAAATCACACATTTGCCCCAGCCTCCATTCAAACTGCCCTTAAAAAGTTTCTTATAGAGAGAAAAATGTCAATTGTGCCCTGTGGCAATGATCTAATGTATGTGAGGGATTCAGGTTCAAACTACAAAATGATATGTTAAAATGAGACAAAGGAAGACTTTTTTCTTTTTAAACATTTGTTGTGCTCATTTTTGGCATGATTTTATACAGGTTTATATTTGTGTATTTTTAGTATAACTATACCACTGGGTTGCTGTACTTGGACAACCTAAGGCTAACCCACAAACTAGGGAGAGCATACAATTTGCAATTTATATAAAAAAAGCAATGCACTGGTCAGAATTAACAGTCAACATTATTTTATATATATATATATATATATATATATATATATATATATATATATATATATATATATATATATAATTTTTTTTTTTTTGGCCAAAATGCAGCTGTATAATTTGACACAGGCATTTAGAAATATATGCAATTCATTCCCTAATTATTCTTGTACAGATCCAAAAGCCCACTGTGTTAAGAGATATTAAATGGAATGTGCACAAAGGTCTAGTTCTGTAAACTAAAATGTTGGAATAAAAATGTACAACGAAATGAATGTGTGTCCTCTGGGACAGCCAAATACTCCCCTTAACTTAATATCAGAGCATGGACAGAGGTAATAGCACTTGATGTTTAAGGCGTTCTTCAGGTAGATGTGTTGTTTGTGACACTTTGATTTTGGTTCCTGGTGTCTAGCTTGAGTTAAATAGACTGAAACTTAACTACAATGTGAATAGAGTCATTGCATACATAGGTGAGCCAGTGCAGTTTCTGTAAATTGTGCACAATTTTGAATGGAGGCATGTTTAGTCCAAACTAATCACCTTTTTAAAACAATCACCAATCTCAGAAGAGAACTAGTTAATATCAAGAGTTTAAGTTGACATAGTGTATTTTCTTACCTGCTCACTGGAATGTGAAGGAGTTCAATTAGTTTGGCCAAATTGGTCACCTGAGGCAAAAATTATCCTTTCACAAACTCTCGTTCAAAACTGCACGTTAATGGCACTGTATATTTAACACAATTCTACGCAGTTTTCCTGGCAAACTGGTTTTGTGCAAGTGTCATCGTCTGGCTATACTATGGTGTTGCATTTGGTACTCTATAAGAATAGCACTGTGCTGTTATTGAGCTTTGACCATTACATTAACCTATTTTGTTGATAACCTTACTTTTAACTTATTGAAGAACTTTTATTTGTAAGTATTCAATATGGGTAAACAGGGACTGATAACAAGTTGAGCTTCCTTTTATAGAAGGCAGGAGACTAGTCATCAGATTGGAGTTTTTATTTTTACATCTAGTCGTCAGTCTTGCAACATTTGATAAATCTGTCAACCGACCTTCAAATATTCTCAATGCTTTTGATGAATGTCTGTTTCTCCCTCTGTAATTCAGAGATGTTATTGCCACTACAGTTAATTACTATTGTTATCATTATTGCTACTGTTGTTACTATTACTACTACTGTTACTAATGCAACTTATTGCAAAAAGTATAACTTCTGTCCATTTTCAGGTACGTGTCTGTAATACCAGACTGCTTCCACACGATGTCAGTGTGCTGTGGAGCATTTTCATTACAAATTGGAAAATAATGTTTGTTGACTTGTGTATCGACATCTATTATTAGGAATAATAAAATATGGTTTAATCAAACAATGGCATGTTTTGTTCTCTCTCAAGATCCTAAGATACTTCTCAAATGTGGGATTCATAATTTCCCCTAGGCCTGCCATAAGGGATTTCCTGTCCAGTTGTTAAAAAGTTGTTGTTTTGATTAAAGTAATTAGAATACTTCTATTCCCTTATCTTTTTTATACAGATAATTTTATTTTGTTACACTTGTAACAAAATAAAATAATATATAGGTGATTAGTTACACTTGTAACAAAATAAAATACAAATTCATGAGTTCAACAGTATTTATATGTAAAGTTTGAAGCAAACATAATAAAATACTGAACTGTGAAGCTGACAGAATCGAGGGTTTTAGTCGCCACCCTAGACTGTATATGTCTTTGTCACAATGTCTGTACTTGTATCTTTCTAGTCTCTGATCTAGTCCATGCATTACTGCGTTATAAACACTAGGGGGCCCTGTTCCTCCTGTATTTGCAGCGGGGCTGATCCTACTACGCTATAGTCACTTTCCGTGTTATAAAAGCAAGATGGCAGCTGTTGTTGAGAATGTTGTCAAACTGTAAGTGTTGTACTTTTGCTCATCTATATTTCAACTCAAATCAATGATACAATGACTTTACACTCAAACATTTACGTGTTAAACAGCTATGAGACGTGTCACTTGTTACCTTGTACACAGTTCTGGTGTTAGGACCTTTAGGACAGTCATGTCGGACCGTCGTGTGCTCACATCCTGGAGAGTGGAAGTGGAATAGTTAGCAACTCTATTAATGACATTCAAAAAGGACCATATAAGAACACGACCAGCACAAATACTGTTATTATAATTATAGATTTGCTCTCTTAACAACTGTAATTAACTTGAGGTGTGCGTTTAGCTTGTCGGCTAACTAATTACTGTGCTAATGTTATCGCAAAAGAGACGACAGCTGCTAACGCGCTACTAACCAAAGTGTACTGTGCTTTAGCATTAAGGCAGTAATTATAGAATGAATGAAACAATAGCTTTACTTATTATGTATATGGATGTTGGTTTAGCGTTACAGCTTTGGTATCGTCTGCAGTGTTTAATATCGGTGTAACTTAATCAAAGCGACCGTTTTGGACTTGTCAAACCTGCTTGAATCTCAGCTACCTATATTGCCATACAGGTGCGCACAGCCTGCATAAATTAGCTAAATTTTGGTCAGTTTTATGATGGTAACCCTTGTTATTGGTCAAATCCCAAGTCAAACAAAGTTGAGACAAAGTATATGTTTTTTCTCCCATTTTCTGCTTTACAAGGTTTTATTTTAGTAAATAAGTAATGAAATCTTTTAATATAATGGTCATGAAAAAACTTGCATAACTTTTAAAATGTTAAAGCTTAAAGTCTGGGTAGTACAAAAGGACCTGTGCAATGTACCAGTAGTACCTACTGTATTCAGAAAAGAGGAACATGTTTTATTATTGTTGTTACTATTAACACATAAATAAACTAAATGTCACCAGCTAAGACTTTAAATCCTTTTTTTTGGTTATATTTCTGTGAAATGCTGCCCCTGATGTTGGTTCGTTTGTCTATTAGGTTGGGAGATCAATGCTACAGAGATGCCCTGGAGCAGTGTCATAACTACAACACCCGACTGTGTGCAGAGAGAAGCGTGCGCATGCCCTTCTTGGACTCTCAGACCGGGGTTGCCCAGAGCAACTGTTACATTTGGATGGAGAAGAGGCACAGAGGACCAGGTGATTCAAATCATGTGACTGCTCTTTAAAGTCATTGTCTATCTCTTTAAGTGACCACATTTAACCTCTAAGGCAGGGGTGCTCACACTTTTTCAGCATGCAAGCTACTTACAAAATGACCAAATCATAAAGCTCTACCTAATACAAAGCCAAGCAAACTGCACTGAAACACTCTGTGCCCCTTTTTTGGACCCTCACCCACAGTTTGAGAACCCCTTCATTAAGAGAACTTCCTCTGGCACTTTACACAAAACTGTGAAAAAAGTGAAGGAAGCTTTTTAAACCTGTTTTTTAAAGTTCCAAACTGGAGTTGCATTCTTTTCTGGTTTTGCAGTGATATTTACCAGCCTCTGCACGTTTACCAAACCAAATGCACATCGTGACAAACACAGATGCATTTGTGCACTTTTGTTAGGCAAACTTCAGCCAAATGTGGCAGTAGGTCTGTTCTGTAGGTCTGCTCTATGCTGTAGGCCTGCTTTGTGCCAACAGTGGAACACAAATTTAGACTCGTTTTTGCTTCACGTTTCGTCTTGCTCTTCTAATCAGCGTGCACTGTGGAAGGGGCTTGTTTTCGCTGTGCGCAAGAAGGAGCAAGAGCGTGAAAAGGCGAGGGGCGGCGTGCTGACGTGAGGCAGATGGACAGGTAGGATGTTTAGGAAGTTTAACCTGCCCTGTGATGCACGCTGGTACACGAGGGCACACGCTGTTGCAGACAAGCCGTGCATAGGGAGCGTGTGTATTTGTGATGTGCCGTAGAGTCTCTGCGGGTTTCAAATGAGCGCACAGGCTGCACTGAGACGCCCCAAGACCGAGTCCAAACGTGAGTCCAAGACGAGACACGGTGATCTACCCACACGATCTTGGCGATCGACTGGTAGATTGCGAACGACGTATTGAGCACCCCTGCTCTAAGGCAATAGGATAAAGAATTCATTCAAGTACTGTGTGAAGGAGGTCTCTTGTATATGTTAACTGCATTTCCTTTCATGTTTTAGGCATGGCTCCTGGGCAGCTGTACACTTATCCTTCCCGAAGATGGAGAAAACGACGAAGAGCTCATCCTCCTGAGGACCCACGTCTAATCTTCCCTCATCTGAAGACAGGTAGACAACATATAGAGTATTATAAATAACAGCAGTGTACATGTTTTATGTGTTTTATTTGTCTGTTACACAATAGTCCACTTCCTTATTGTCATTTTTTGACCTTAGTGGGAATTTTTTGGGGATTTGCTAACCTATATATTTTTGGAAAGGTTATAGTACATGGAGTCAGAAAATCAATGTTTGCATTTGCCCACATGTCTTTATGGTGGCCATATTGGATTTTTAAAAAATGGCCGCCAAAAAACCCTTTTTGGAATATCTCAGCCTTTGAATAAATTTAAATGTTGATTTTAACTGCTAAACCCACATTTTCAGGGTCAGGAAATCAAATGGTGCTAGTTACAAAGCTATAAGACCTACCCACATTAACCCTTAGATGCATAAGTGGGTCAAAAATGACCCGGTTTGGTTGTTTTCTTGCAATTTCACTGTGATATTCACATGTAATACTCCATGTTCCTCCAAAAACATGTTTTTGTTTGTTTTTTTAATTATCCTGCTGAAAGACTTCAACAACTGGTAAAACAAATTATAAACATCATATGCAGCTGGTCAGATAACTCAAAGAGTTTAAAAATAGCTAACATAAAATTTGGATGTTGGATGTAAACACACACATTTAGACACAATATGATTACTCAAGCTTTTTATTAGTCATTTTCTATACATCATCATTATCATCATCACTTTCATACAACCATAGACTGTATATACGAGTGGACAGATCTAACGCTGTAGCCACCGTGTGCCAAATAGGAAGTTCTCCAGGAGGCTCTTCTGGCTCCTTCTGACTCTGCCTCCAATGGACTTACATTAGGATCTTGTGGCTCCTCTCTCTGTACCTGCTGCAGTGAGCCTTGACATTTTGGTCTTAAAATGTTAGTATGAACCCGCTCTACATGATCCTGAATTTTTTTTTTTGCTATTTTGTCCGTCAAAAATCCTATTCATAATATAAAGCCCGTGGTTGGATGAGATCCATCCTGAGTATCTTAAGTCTCTGGATGTTGTGGGTCTTGACTGACACGCCTCTTCAACATCGTGTGGCGGTCGGGGACAGTACCTCTGGACTGGCAGAACGGGGTGGTGGTCCCTCAATATAAGAAGGAGGACCGGAGTGTGTGTTCCAAATACAGGGGAATCATACTCCTCAGCCTCCCCGGTCTGTGCCAGGGACTGGAGAGGAGAATCCGACCGTGGTTTTCGTCCCGGTCGTGGAACACTGGACCAGTTCTACACTCTCCATCGGGCGCTCGAGGGCTCATGGGAGTTTGCCCAACCAGTACACATGTGCTTTGTGGATCTGGAGAAGGCATTCGACTGTGTCCCTCGAGGTGTCCTGTGGGGGGTGCTCTGGGAGTATGGGGTCCGGGGAAGTTTGCTAAGGGCTGTCCGGTCCCTGTATGACCGGAGCAGGAGCTGTGTTTGCATTGCCGGCAGTAAGTCAGCCCTGTTCCTGGTGCATGTTGGACTCCGCCAGGGCCCTGTCACCGGTTCTGTTCATTGTATTTATGGACAGAATTTCTTGGTGCAGTCAGGGGCCGGAGGGTCTGGTTTGGAGACCACAGGATCATTTCTGCTGTTCACAGCATATATATATATATATATATATATATATATATATATATATATATATATATATATATATATATATATATATATATATATATATATATATATATATATATATATATATATATATATATATATATATATATATATATATATATATATATATATATATATATATAAATCTTCATATCTTCAGGGCCTTTGTGAATACCCTGTGATACCAAATATAAGCGAGACCGCAGTGTCAAAAAATTAGCAGGACACCCCTATTTGGACGACGCAAGAACCAGAGCTCGGAGCCCGACCGGCCGTGGATCTATCCATCTTGTTGAAGAGTAGCTAATGTTTATTAAGCAAATATATGAAATAAGTGCATGCGCAATTTGCTTCATTTACTTTTCTTTAAATAAATGATGTCATGATAGCAGCAGTTGGTCCTAATGAAGGCTCAGGGTCCATGTCCACGGTTCACCACTGCCAAGTACAAAGGCGACTGCAGAACTGCACACCAGAAACTAAAGGTTTATCCTGTACCGACATGTGTCAGTGCAGCAGCCAGTGCCAGAATGATGATGATTCCGAAGCCATGTTGTTGCATAAACTGTATAAAAGAAGTGGACTAAGTGAGTGTGACCCACAGAGTTCAGTACCACTCAAATGAGGCTTGTGATGTTCACGGTTACAGGAGCCAATCTGGAGCCAGACTCTATATTATGAATAGGATTTTTTTTTGACAGACAAAATAGCAACACAAAAAAAAAAATCTGGATCATGTGTCATGGGTTAGCACAAACATTTTAAGACCAAAATGTAGAGACTCACTGCAGCAGGTACAGAGAGAGGATCCACAAGATCCTAATGTAAGTCCATTGGAGGCAGAGTCAGAAGGAGCCGGAAGAGCCTCCTGGAGAACTTCCTATTTGGCACACGGCAGCTACAGTGTTAGATCTGTCCTCTCGTATATACAGTCTATGGTTATATGAAAGTGATGATGATAATGATGATGTATAGAAAATGACTAATAAAAAGCTTGAGTAATCATATTGTGTCTAAATGTGTGTGTTTACATCCAACATCCAAATTTTATGTTAGCTATTTTAAACTCTTTGAGTTATCTGACCAGCTGCATATGATGTTTATAATTTGTTTTACCAATGTTGTTGAAGTCTTTCAGCAGGATAATTCAAAAAACAAAAAAAAAAAAAAACATGTTTTTGGATGAACATGGAGTATTACATGTGAATATTACAGTGAAATTGCAAGTAAACAACCAAACTGGGTTATTTTTGACCCACTTATGCATCTAAGGGTTAATGTGGGTAGGTCTTACAGCTTTGTAACTAGCACCATTTGATTCCCTGACCCTGAAAATGTGGGTTTAGCAGTTAAAATCAACATTTCAATTTATTCAAAGGCTGAGATATTCCAAAAAGGGTTTTTTGGCGGCTATTGTTAAAAAAAATCCAATATGGCCACCATAAAGACATGTGGGCAAATGCAAACATTGATTTTCTGACTCCATATACTATAACCTTTCCAAAAATATATAGGTTAGCAAATCCCCCAAAAATTCCCACAAAAGTATATAAGGAACCGGACTAACAACATTTGATATTAAAAAAGACAAAAAAAACAGTACTAGCTACACAAAGGAATTACAGAGCTCCTGTATTCAGTTACTTGTCTAATTAAGTGACTTCAACTTAGACACACTTTATTGATCCACAAGGGAAATGACTTGGACACAGTAGCTCATACATCACAATATAATGTAAAAACAAAGAGTAAAAATATAAATGGTAATAATAAATTCTAAAGAAGTAGCAGTAATAACATAGGCATCATTATGTAAATGTATATTTACAAGTAAAAATTTAATAAATGTAAATATATGTATATGTGTATATATATATATATATATATATATATATATATATATATATAAATAAATAAAATATAAATAATCACAAGGGGTCATAAGGAAAAAGTAACTGTTCCTTAAACCTCACTGTGTCATGTTGTTGTTTACATGTTTTATACCAAAATGAAATAATTTTTGTGGTGTTTGCATTATATTTAATGTACCAACCTAACACACCTTGTATTTGTGTTTTAAATCTCAGAGCTGGATTTAGGTTTGAAAAAGGACTCTTTGTTGTCATCGGATGGCAGCAGTCTTGAGGCGCTGCTGAAGGGAGACACTTTAGACAAAAGAACAGAGCTTCGTGGCTCTGAAGAGGAATCCAACATGAGTGACTACACTGGGGGTCTGAACCCTGCCTCTCGCGCTAGAAAGGTGTTTATTTAGATGTAAAATACTCATTCTATTGCCCTATTGCCCCACATAGTCTAACACTGTCTATTTTTGTCACTGCAGAGAATTCTTGAGCCAGATGACTTCTTGGACGACCTGGATGATGAGGATTATGAGGAGGACACACCGAAACGAAGGGGAAAAGGAAAGGGCAAGGTGCTTCACATGCTTGGACTGGATATAAAGTAAAATACTGACTCTAAAAATTATTGAATTATTGAATTATATTTTGAATTCTGTTTCAAGGGACGAGGTGCGGGCAGCAACCGGAAGAAACTGGATGCAGCTGCCCAAGAGGACAGAGACAAGCCCTATGCCTGTGACAGTGAGTCCAGTGAAACAATTAAGAATGTTTATGGTCTTAATATGTAATTTGTATGTGTTAGATTCAGTTATTTATTTAATTACATTTGAATTTAATTTTTTTGGAATAATCTTTTATATAGGTTTTTAATCTTATAATCTTAATTTATATATATTTTTTATATTTTTTAACTGTAGATTATTTGTTGCTAAAGGGAAAGTCCTTCTTTCACTTCTGCGCTGCACTTCCTGTTTTGTCCTCTGGCCCTCTGCTGTCCTCAGTTGACTGTAGCTAATCTGTGCTAGTCTTTGAGCTCATTTCTCTGAGTGTCTGTCTCTGCTCTGTTTTCCCTCTCTCTCTTTCAGACACTTTCAAACAAAAGCATATTTCCAAACCTTCTGAAAGAGGTATTTTTCTCTCATTTCACTTGTTCTGTCTTTGTCCCTACTCTCTGTTTTTGGCCCATCTTATTCACCGTGGTTCAATTGTAGTTCAGTAGAAAAGTCAATTCAAAATGAATTGTTTATAGTTATTATTTATAACCCTTCCCATATTTATAACCCATCTCTTAGGGGAAAGTACTGTTGTCTCCTGTGTCTCATTTTTATGTTTCATGATGCATTACATTTCCTGATCCCCAGTTACTCCACTTTTGTAATTGTTTGAGAAAGATTTGGGGTTGTAATTTAGTGGTTGATTCCTTGTACACATTTGTAAGGAAAAGTCTTTTTCTGTGGGGGTTTTGCCTCATCTTGTGACAAACCTCAAATCCTTATGGCAGTGGGTGCACAATGACCGCTTTGTCAGTTAAGATTCACAAAAAGCAGACATATCATTAGGGTCATTGACAACTTCAAATTAAAGTTCATATTAGGCTGTTAGTAGAGGTCTAATTAGATAAATAACTTTAAAAAGAACCAAAACAAAATAGTAGCATCACCTGTACAGACCCTTAATCATAGAGAGTCCTGGAGATAATCAGTGTAAATGTATTTAATTTCTTGACAGTTTGTGGGAAGCGTTACAAGAACCGCCCGGGCCTGAGCTATCACTACGCCCACTCCCACCTGGTGGACGAGGAAGGAGAGGAGAAGGACGACTTGGACCTTGAACCCCCTCTGCCACATCATGAGGAGCCGAAAAGTAAGTGCCATGGAGTTTTTACCTAAATGACAACCTCAGGAACAAGCTTACAATCTACTATCTATCTGTCCTGTTTATCTTATTTGTCTATCTATCTCATCTGTCTTATCTGTCTTTGCAGCTCCAAAGAAAGGCCCAGACGGTCTTGCTTTGCCCAATAACTACTGTGATTTTTGTCTGGGGGACTCCAAAACCAATCACAAGACCGGCCAATCAGAGGAGCTGGTGTCTTGCTCCGACTGTGGACGCTCAGGTAGGTTCAGCACACGCTGGAATACAGTCATCAGATAATAAAGACATGAAAATTGTTTTGGCAGCAACAGACAGATTAAAAGTCCACACTGGGATTTTTCTGGAGTGTCTGCCACCTGCTTTTGTACCTGTTATTGCTCATCAATCTTGAATTTATTATGTTGTAGGTGTTTTTATTACTAAAAGATCTTGAAAAACATGCATCAGGCCACCACCTCGTCTCTATGAAAATTATACTTTTAATATAATATTGAATAAGGAAAATCATCTTCATCTCAATAAAACATGCAGGCTTTCCCTCCAACGGAAAAGTTACATAATGCACCTCTTCAGTAAAATGTTTAGATTGATCAGTTTTCAGTTTTATTTTGTTTTATTAAACACAAAGAAATGTCTTTCAATTATACTTTCCTGAACAAACCAATTTATTAATTGGCATATAACCCAAATAATCAGTTAAACCAATTAAAAAAGACCCAAACTCATGATTGACAGTTAGAAATAACTAAATGTCAGTCTTGATTAAAATGTGATTAAATGCACAACCCTACCATGAAATAAAGTAGAATAACAGATGTGTCCATTTCCATGCTACCATAACTACCATACCATACTACTTTACTACCATAATTAAAATTATATGAACCATGCTATTGCAGTGCAAGAGCCTAAAGTTAAGTCCTACCCAAAAGAAATCCCACGTTTACAGACTCTCTTCTGTTGTAGGTCATCCCTCGTGTCTGCAGTTCACTCCGATCATGATGGCCGCTGTGAAGACGTATCGATGGCAGTGCATTGAATGCAAGTGTTGCAACATGTGTGGCACCTCCGAAAATGATGTGAGTGCGAGACTTTGTATATCGACTTTAATTTAATTAAACTCGGTAATTCTGGAGGGGTTTCCCAGATATCTAATATTATATATAGATGTTATCTATAATATAGATAATATTTTATATAAGCTGCCCCTAGTCTGTGTGCCCATATATTTTTATCCAGAAACATACATTAAATACATTTTGTTATTATTTTCTGGAAGTGAAAAGTTCATTTGTGTATATGGGGTAACACATTGACTTAAACATCCCTCGGGGAAACCCTGGGGTCCCTAGTACTTGTTGTGATTACACCAGAGTAATGAGCTGTTGTCCTAGGATCAGCTTCTGTTTTGTGACGACTGCGATCGTGGTTACCACATGTACTGTCTCAACCCTCCCATGGCAGAACCTCCTGAGGGTAAGAAAAAGACAATTCACCATGTGGCTTATTAAGAATGTTTGACTAATCACACTCTGTTCACTTCACTTCTCCTGAGCAGGGAGCTGGAGCTGTCATCTATGCCTGGCCCTTCTAAAAGATAAAGCCTCCATTTACCAGAATGCACCTCAGTCGTGATGTCTGCTCTCTTGCTCTCTCTCTGCAGTCTGTGTACCCCTCCAAACCCCATCCTCTGATAGTTTGAGAGCAAAAAGGGAAGTACAACTCGCCTCAGTTAATTTGACTCTCATACTGTTTTATGCACAGCCCCAGGACCACAGGTTTTTATTTCTCATTTTGCCATTTTAAACATGAAAAACATCTGGTTTTAACCTTGTTTCCCCCATACATAACTTAGATACATGTCCCTTGTTGTTTTCTGAAGACTAGTACAGAAATACCTGGTCATGGTTTGTTCACATAAATAAAAATGTAATATTTATATATTTCTATGGCTTATTGTAGCGTAAAATTGGGAAAAGTTATCATATAATATATTGGAAATGGTGCCCTCTTCAATATGGAACATTAAATCCATAGCTCATGTGTTATGGCACTGCTGAATAATTATTTATTTGTAATTACAGGATTTTAAAGATGATATTATTCAGTCATCCACTGCCATATTAATCAAAAATGGTCAGAGTCTTCAGTTATAACTTCAGTTATATTATATTGTTCAAAACAAAAACGTGATGATATCCACTCAATAGGTAACTTTTAAACTGTGGCACATATAGTGCACATTTTCATTTTGTGCAGATGAAGATGTGTTAAAGCTGATCAACAATATCAATATCAATTTGGTATTGCATTATTGATATGTTTCTCTATTATCCCCCAACTCAGTATCACAGCATTTATTTTTCAATGCTCTTTCCATTAGTGTTTGACAGTCTTTAAACTATGTTTAAAGGATGGATACATGTTGTAGATCAGCAGAACAGACCATTGGGAGACAGATCTCATCTGCTTTAATAACTGCTCTTGTGTACTACGCACAGTAAAGTTTCCAGACATGCCCTGTAAGTGTCTACTCATTTTAATAGCTAAATAGAAGCTGGTAAAGGTGTTGGGGAATGCTGTAATATAAATTAACCACAATATCATGTTCAAAAGCCAACTTACCTTATACAACTATACCATGGGTTATTTTCCCATTACAAGTATTTAGAGACAGTGGCATAGCCTAAAGCACATATCTGCTGTTTGTTTTTATATACATCATTATGTTCTGAAATGTCACTTCAATGTGGGACTTCATGAGAAACGGTCGCCTAGGTAATCGGCTTTTCAGGTGACTTGAACGACACGTAGCAAAGCTGTTAATATGGTGAAATACAAATGTTTGTTGATGAAACTTGAACAGTGAAAGCAATAGAGGACTTGACGCTGAGCTGATGTTACAGAAATGCCTGGCATCCAGAATACCCACTTCAATCCTTTACAAAGATGTGAGTCTGCTCACCAGAGAATCTCCCAGTTTTTCAAATGGGCATGATTGACAGGTGGATTAGTTAATCGGATACACATGGTCCGTCCATATTTGAAAAAAAGGAAAGAAAAAAAACAGTGTAGATTTCTGCAGAATCAAGGAGTGAAGCACTAAACTCTGTTAAACTGAGATGAGATCAATTTGTTCATGTTGGGCCAAATTTGAGTAATCTGTATAAAAAAAATACAGAGATCATTCTGGATTTGCCAGGCAAGTTATAGAATGCTGCAGTAAATGATTGTAGGTGATATTTTATTTGGGAATGTGATGGACTGGTTTGTTTGTTTTCTCCAAGAAAATAAATTCTAGCCTCAAATGTTTGATTTTGTTCCATTTTACTGAAATAAGTGGGATTTAGTGGTTGATTTAACACATTCTACCTTCATGCACAGGGGAGAAAACTATATTCCTAATGATAACTGATTTCAGAAGATATTTGCAATGAGATGAACAACTGATGAAGCAACAACCAAAGTCCAGTTTAAATATGCATTGAGAGGATTGTCGCATGGGTTATGCTTTTGGTGAAAGTTGGGAGAAGAGGGCTGGGTTTATGAGGCAATGAAGCAGTGTCAGGTGACACAGTGAACAGTGAAGCAATAAGGGGGTGTGGTAATGGGGGTAAAATATATCAAATTAGGATTAAACATACAAATTAAAGTATCAATTTAGAGAGTAAAAATAATCAGCTGAGCTAGTCCGCTAATTGAAGCCTCTGAATGAAGCTCAAAGGGAAGGTGAAACCCAAAGCAGGAGTCAGGGCAGCACCATGGGAGGGACCAAAGGGGAAGCAGGGAAGAGGATGAGGGGATTTTGTACACTAATATTACATTTATAAGAGACACTGGAAATGTATTTATATGTCCAGAAAATGTAATTGTCATGATTGTATTTGTCCACTAGATGGCAGCCAGTGATTCGCTAAAACCAATGGAGAAAGACATTCCAAGCTCTTATTGCACATTTTATTGCACTCAAAATACAACAGTCCTCTATGATTCAAGCAATCTCTAAAGCAATCAGTTTAACATTACAGCACTAGATATATATATATGAGGAAGCGTGCTGTTAATTCACAAGATTTAAAAAAATGAAATAAAACAAAACAGTTAACTTGACATAAAAAAAAAAAAAAACAATGTAAAAATGTGCCATGACTGGTCTTAAACAACATATTTAGTATTAAAGTCTTTCACTTGTGGATTTATCACTGATCCCCACACAAATGTTTACGTGCCACACTTTAATCTAGTGGGATTTTGGTATTACAATAAGTGGATAAACTATGACCATAAGATTATAACAACTGTTTCCTCAAGCTTTAATATACTTGAGCAATTGTATTTAACCCCATAAATAAATCAAATGTACAAGTAGAAATTTGCACTTTTAGTTGTACAAGGCTACAGTCGCTACTGAACATATTTACCTACAATACATTAAAGTGTTGTGTTGTAAACAGGATTAATTGTAATGTGTGTGTGTTTGTGTGTCACTAATATAATACTGAACAAACTCAGCTCAACAAATGTGTTCAAATCCATTCACCCAACAATTCACAAAATAACTCTAGGCTCTCTGATCTAGATCTGTTAAACTGCAACTTTCTCAAACATTCATAGTTTGTAAAATCTAATCAATACAAATACATGTATCTAAAACAATAGCCATAAAAATATTTTTTTCTATCTTGAACGTTATTAATAGTAGTGGCACCAAGACGTCCTTAAACATGCTTCAAAAGCCCCCTGTTTGTAGTGTGTTCTCCACTGAGCTAAAGAGCAGCAGTTTGCAGCATCATTCTGTCATATAACACATGTACAGTGTACACTACAGTTAAATGTGGTATTATTATTGCAGATTGTATGCAGCCCGTGGCTTCTTTTGTCCTGAAGCTTTGTGATAAAACATTTCACCAAAGTGCAAATTCAACCTTCAACAACTCCACAACAAACAATAGTAATATTTAAGTAATTATTCTAAGTCTAAGTAATACGATTTAAAGTTGTAAGACTTTTTGAAAACGGCATTCACTTCAAAATATTATTTTGTTTGTTAGTGGATCCACAGTTGTTTTTAATTAATTTTATGCAAAACTGGGGCACACTGTGCCCTCCACTACTCAAAATTGGAGTGAATCCCTATCTGTGCTTGGTATGTCATTGCTCCCTGCTGTACATTTAAAATACCAAAAATACCCACAACAACCACAGTTAAGTTACATTCAAATACAAGCACAGTAGTAGAGGCTAACGCCAACACAGTAATGTGTTTCAACTAATGGATTCAAATATGACTTAAGTCAATCTACTAAACATTCAAACAGGGCTTTGTGTTTTAAAGTGGTATCAAACTCACCAAAGATTATTCTTTAATATTATTCTTAAATAAATAAATAGCCTTTAAACTACACTTTTTAAAGTGCAGAAGAAAAAGAATTCAAACCATTAAGTGGCACTGAATATCATGTCATGTTTTTGGATGTTATCTTATGGTATTGTTATACTAAAGCTCAACTCGAGCTCAAGCAATTTATTGCTTCTCCTAGAAAACAAAAACCAAGAAAGGACAAAATATTCACTGGCAGAGATAGTTAGCTGTGTGCTTCTTTCTGTGCCCTTCACACTTTTGGTTTGGTCGTGTAGTGGTCCACGTTCCCCCACTGTCAGAGAATGCTTGATAGCAGATACAGAACAGCCCTGCCTTATTTGGCTTCAGGAAACAGCATCGTGGTGAGGGTGGTACTTGGCTTGGATGAGCCCTGACCCGGAGGTCTCACATCTGTCCAAAGAGGATGGAGCAGAGTAAGAAGACGGCATAGAGGAACATTAGACCAAAGCCCAGGCGGCGGTCCAGCTTCCAGTGGTTTAGATGTACACTCATTACCTGATCAGGAGCACAAAATACACAATATTTGCAATTCAAACTTAGAAACAGTTCCTGTGTAACAAGTCATTTTAACTAGGAATGAGTAGCAACTCACTGTCAGTAATACAGAGGCCAACAGCAAGATGACTGAATAGACCAGTCCTTTATTATTGATATGAACCTGAAACACAAGACAACATCAATGCTTCAGCCACAGCCTGCAACTGCTAAGCGCTAACACTGAGCACTTACCACTGATCCATGGTCCACCACCAGGGTGCGCAGTGCCCAGGGGAAGCCCAGCCCCAACAGGATGTCAAAGATGTTACTGCCGATGGAGTTGGACACAGCCATGTCCCCCATCCCTATAAGAGACAGCATGAGCTAAGATAAAGAAGAGACTCGCAGCACCAGTCATAACAGGTTATACTTTACCTTGTCGTGCCACAATCAAACTGGCCATGCAGTCCGGCACACTGGTCCCTGCTGCCAGGAACGTGATGCCCATAATGTAGTCTGGGATGTCCAGTGTGGAGCTGATGATAGTGACCTGAGAGAATACATCTTTATGATTAATGTTTCATGTGCTCCATTGGGTTTTTGTGTCCATTGATTACCATTGTGCTCATTCAAAAAATGAGACCTTTATTCTGCGAATCTTACCATCCACACCATGAGGTAGGAGAACACTGCAATCCACAAAGTGGAGGCTACAAAGGTGACCATGAACCATCGGTGCCATCGTGGCTGAAGGCAGTTGGGCACAGTGCAGTAGAGCAGAACACCCAGAGGCCACGTGGTCACCCACTTCACTCTTGCACCGCAGCCTCCTGCACAGGGGCATGACATCATCTCATCAGACGTATGCCTCTCTGGCTTCATGTCCAATATATGAACATTCTGTTACCTGGAATATGCCAAGGACTGAAGATCCCATCATCCTCCTCTTCCTCAGGGTGACCTCCCTCTGCCCCCTGTTTCCCTCCAGACTCTGTGTCTCCGACTTGGGAGCGCCCCCCTCCATTCTCCAGACTGTAGGAGGCGGTCCTCTTTACACTGCTGCAGCTGGATGTTCGTCTGGACCCTGGTCCAGCTTCATCCCTCTGGCTCTTGGAGTTCCGAATCAGCCTCTGTCTCTACCAATCACAGGAGACAAATGTGCTTTACTATGTGTCTGGTCCAGTGGTCCAGACTCAGATATGTCTGACCGTACTGACTTCACTGATGAGCATGCGTCCTGCCATAGTGAGTCGAGTGCGAGGGGAGAAGTGCGGAGTGATCATAATGCGCAAGCCGGCCTCAGAGAAGGACAGTTTGTGAGGGTTCAGGATGAGCAACTCATCCACCATGACCACAGGGCCAGGCTCTGCTCCATGACTTTGAGCTGTTAGACAGACACAAACAGTTAAGACGACAGTTATGAAGCCTCAAGTCTGTCCTTAAATTACCTTTATTCAGAAGCACAATGGACGTGTTGATAGCAGCTGCCTCATCCACCATCTTGTCATCTCGTGTCTGTTCAGACCTGGAGCAGCACGGCACTGTGTTTTGGCACCGGCGCATAACAAATGCTGAGATCGGGGAATTAAATCTGCACAAGTCATAGACACTGCTGAGATTATCTTTTTTAAAAACTCAAATATAATAAGTAGGTTCTGTTACTTACTTCATGATTATTATGTAGATTCCATACAATGTCATGAGCAGAATAGACTCCCACCTTTACAACACAGAATATATGTTTAGTACATTCTTGAGGTATGGGTTAATCCATAGATTAGAATGAGGTCCAGACATGCACATCAGCAGATTCCCATCTCATGCATTGTGAGTTCTGTTTCCAGAGGAACGGAGCTGAGGTGGAATAAGGTGAAGCCTTGGCTGGCTAAACTGACTGAGAACTTAACCTGTACATCACTAATGAATGCTGTGGACACAAATAAATCTTTAGTTTCATTAAACCAACTGAAAGGCACAAACTTTTACTCAGCTTTGAACCCAAACACATTTCAGAGGTGTGAATCTCAGTGGCCTTTAGAGCACATAAATAAACTCTACAAACAGAAACATTAAACTGTCCTTTGGATTCTTACGGTTAAATACGGTTTATGTTTTTATACACAAATGACAGAAAGCTAAGAGGTTTTCACTCTGCTACCACATATGCAGCATATATGATACAGTATAATACAAATTAAACTCACCAGACCACTCTGTCGTCATAGATGACCTGTGGAAGGATCAGAGACTTTAAAACAAGGAACATCTTAAACACAAACTACAGTACCGGTAATGTTTTACCAGGATGAGCGTGAGCACAGACAGGATGTAGTACATTGAATCTCGAAACAGAGACCACCAAGTTAGAACCACAGTCTGAAATCAAGAGTGGTGAGAGTTCACAGCTCACATTCTGATCAGATATTATGAGTGCAGCTGGTCTGTACCTGTCCTGCGAAGATCCCGCTGAGGCCGATGATGACAAGGATGTTGAAGACAGCTGAGCCAACGATAGTGCCCACTCCCACATCCCCCTTTGTGATGAACACACCTATGTACAAGGACAGTGTCATGGACAGCACCATTCATGTATTCATCTAAACATGTGAGCAGAGCTTGCAGCTATGGGCAAAAAGGCAAATTATTCACCATTAGTGTGAACAGCATCTAATGCAACAGGATTCAGTGTGCACCAATTGAAATTACAATTTGATTGGTTACAATTAACAAATTGTGACGGCAGCAATTGTACAGTCTTCTGTAAACTGCAAACTAATCCATTTCCGCATGATCAAAATGTTTTGTCTGAGAAGTCTGTTTTTAACATCTGTCTGATTTATCAGCTAAAACCTTTTTTCTATTTTTTTTATTAATTTGAATTAATCATTGTATTTAAATAGCACCTTTCAAGACACCCAGATTGCTTTACAGTTCATTGTTCATTCACTCCACACTCAATGGTAGCAAGCTACTATTGTAGCCACAGCTGCCCTTGGGCAGACTGGAGGAAGTGAGGCTGCCAATTTGTGCCAACGACCCCTCTGGCCACCACCAACACTCATACACACTCCACTTTCTTACTAGGCAATGTAGGTATCTTGCCTAAGGACACAATTTTCTTAACAAGTTTTTGTCACTGATGCCCCACTGTGGCACCCGGTGTTCTCAGCGGTCTCCCTTCCAAGTACTAACCCTTGCTTAGCTCTTAAGATCTGACAAGATCAGGCTTTGACAAGCTGGTATTTTGTATTAACATAAATTAAAATCTAAGTAATTGGCATCTTAAGTATTGGTGTGTCTGCTAAACCTGCATTAAAAATGTGGTACAACTTAAAACTCAATAAATTTTTTAGGTACTGCAACAATTTGTGGGTACTGTAGGTTTAAGGCCTGTGTGCCACTGTTCAAGGTGTATATGTATAATGCTGATCAAACAAATGACAAACTAATGACATTAGCAAAATGTGATTGTACAAAACACACAACATATACCAATCAGAGAAGTAAAAAGCTCTGGGGCTGAACTCCCTGCTGCCATAAATGTGGCCCCAGCAACATCTTCACTGAGCTGCAGGTTCTGTCACATCAGGAAAAACAATCAAAATATCAGGTGAGTGAAATTTTCCACAAAAAAACTTAAATGTATTAACAGCTTAGTGTAGCAAAACTTGCCTCAGATATTTTCTCAAGGGAAGGGACGAAGTAATCATCGCAAACAATGGCCAGGGCATAAAACATGTAGATGGCCTAGAGATAAATAACAAATGTCTACTGAACAAAGCTTCAAACACACCAACAATATGTTAAAGCCTCTTACACATAGAGCATGCAGGCACACAGCCCCATTCTTCCGCTGTTCTTTTGTGAAGATGTCCTCTGGAAACTCATGGATGGCTGCAGACACACAGATATGATTTGAACAATATGATATTTGATTATGTGTCTGTGGTTTTAAATGTTAAATGTCGTCTCTTGAAATATTTATCATATGTATTTGTTTCATTGATTTGCTTCTTTTTATAGACATCTCAGAGACATGGTACAGCCCACAATCCTTCTGGAGAGAGAGAGAGAAGACATTCAGCTACCTCCTGTTCTGTCCCCAGTATATAAAGAGGAGAATGTGTTAATGACAACCTCTATAATAGTTCATCTGACACCAACAGAGACGGGAATCAGATCTGCTCGATTTTACAACTGGGAGGGTGAGCAGAGTGAATATAAAGTAGTGGGGAGAGGAAGGCTATAAATAGCTGTAGTGCTGTGAGACAACAGTGGTCGGTGAGCTCACAATAAGCCCAGAGCAGAGCAGAGCCGGGCACAAATGAACAGCAGAAAATGAGGAGCAGGAGAATGGGGGTCCAATTATATATTAACTGACAAAATGAACTTGAGGAGAAAGTATAGACCTGAAATATTCTATTCAAATGTTGCGTAACACTTTTGTTTTCAAAGTGACTGTCGATTAGACAAGTGGTTTTGCTCCAGGTTTGAGGGCAGATCAAATGCACATATCATTGTGAATATTGGGTTAATTAATAAATCCATGGTATTTTACACTGAAAAGAGTGATCATTTTAATTGGATTAATTGGGCAGCCCTAGTCCAATATTTGAAATCTATTTGAAAATGCTTCATTTGAGAACTATGGAAATAGTTTTAGTTTGGAAAGAAGACTTGCACTACTCAATATCTTAAATTAACAAGAATTCACAATAACTTGTCAAAGTCATAGTCAAGTCTTGACTAAAATTATTTATACACTAATTTCTTGTCCTTATGTAGCACTGAGGTTCAGGTAAGGCATCTGACATAAACACCAGACCATTTAGTGTGATAATTTGAGGAAAACTTGTCCTCACTGTGGCAGCTGTCATAGATTCACAGAGCTGGTGTGGTAAGTCTCCACGGCTTAACATGTAAACTTTGGTGTTATCTAACGACACAAGGACTGATCCTGCTCTCAGGACATCTGCGCTGTGTCTGAGGATTACTCTTCACCTTTCTCTTGTCTCATTTTTGTGAAAAAGAGTCTTAGCCGGGCTCACAACATAAGGTCCAGGTCCAGCGATCATGCACATGCACAGGCCGACGCTTCCTGGAGTCGCCGTGGTGAAGACAGTTGCTATAGCGACCCTCTCCCTGGGGGCAGTCAGCTTTTTGCGATGGGTGGCAGTAGGACGCCATAGACCAGGCAACTGCAGGATTGGAGGGAAAGGGGAGGTGGATCTCTGTTTCCCAGGGTTTGAGTTTATGAAAAATAAAAAAATAGAAGTGACAGCCGCCCTGGACTGTAATGTCTAAAAATATTTATTTTTCCCTACAACCCTCAGGAGAGATCTGAGAGCCAGGGAGGGAAAAAACACCACACTAGATAGAGGACTCCAGCAAGACTAACTGGACTGGCTTGAAGTTCAGACATTTGCTTTGCCAGAAATCCAAGTCCATATTTCAATGGAAGATGAATATTAAAAATGTGTACAAATAATTAGTTACCTACTTTAGACGTAATACATAGAGATCCTACATCCACAGGCAATAATGGTTTTGGTATGACATAAGTTTACATAATCTGACAACACACAATTATAGTCCAAGCAACATGAGAAGACCAGACATTTACCTGTAAAGTTTATATTGAGAGGAGGAACACTGAACACTGGAAAATAGAGTATTTATTAGATTGTGCCTGTGAGGTTAAAAGCCCCCACAAAGTACAGTAGAGTGAGTGGGGGGAGCAGAGTGGTGCTATTGATCTAAGTCTGATATGAGTCCAGCTTTTTTATCGAGCGCTCACGAATCACAACCACAGCGCTGCACACAACGCACTAAGGCCAGGTATAAGCTGAATGTTTCATGAGGAATCCAAAAATAAATATTTCATTCAGGGTGTAATGTAAATTCAATTATGCATTTGTCTTTGATTCTCATCCCTTTGAGGCACTTTGAATGTAGCTCAGATTAAACAGCAGCAGGCTTCACTCTATGTGTTCGGTCAATACTGACGCTTGCAGCACAGAGCTCCAGCCACTGAGACTACAGCCTCTTCTACCAACTGTATGAGGGTCCATAGAACCTCGAATATGGTCCTTTTCCATAAGGTTTATTTGAGATACATATCTAATGTAAAAAAAGTAAATCAGTCAACAGTGTTCTCCAGTCTGCTCCAAGACCTCAGCCCATGCTCCAAAATAAATCTGACCATGTCTCAGCCACACAAGGCCTTTCACTGACATCATATGGACTCATTTGCACACGCCTCTCTCCTGTGCTATTTTTAGGTCCTGGTTTGCACTTTTCATGCTTGAAAGACAGAATTGTCGGGTTTCAAAATTTAGCATTCAGTTGCTTAGCAACAATAGCCATGTCAGCTGAAGGCGGGTCTCCATCTTGTTAAGCAGAGAAGGGATAAGAGAGAAGGAGCCGGGGGCTGATGTTACTGTCCAATCCCCAGATAATATCCTGAGGTCCAGCGCTGGCGTTTAATCACACAGATTATGTAATCACCATCAGCTGCTGTGGAGACGTGTCCGACATGCACCCACAGCTCCTACATCTCCTACTACTTCTACAGTACTTACTGCTCCTACATCTCCTACTACTTCTACAGTACCTACTGCTCCTAGAACTCCTACGACTTCTACAGTACCTACTGCACACATAGGTCCTACTAATTCTACACCTCCTACTGCTCCTACAGCTCCTATTACTCCTGCTGCTCCTACTGTTCCTATAGCTCCTATTGGTCCTATTACTCCTAAAGCTCCTATTATTCCTACTGCTCCCACTGTTCCTACTACTCCTACTACTCCTACTACTTGTACTGGTCTTAGTAATTTTTTATTTTGTACAACTACATTTACATATGTGCAAATGGAGCAGTACTAAAAAATAAAAGTGGGGACTGGTGCAGACAAAGCCTCTCTGATATGATATGAAAATACAGGGTTACTAAACTTTATTTATGGTGACAAATTCTTATAGTGTACCTGAATAAAGTCATTTTTCTCCTTGAACAAAATGAATAATAAAGCTGTCAGTTCTGATAGATGCTGCTTGTAGAGCCACTTAATCAGCATGGGAACCAGAGGAACACGCTTCTGTTTATGGTAGTCAGTTGGCTACAAGTCTTTTTGCTTTACACAAGCCTGGAGCAAAGCAGAGGCCATCAACTTGAGCACATCTAATCTGTGTTGTTTGTCTATGAACTGTGATAGAGCATGCTCTGTGACCTTTCCTTCACCTGCAGGGGACAGGCTGCACCTGTCTATACTGTTGCTCCATATAAACACACTGTGCAGTGTCCAAAGGCACAGGGCACACACGCAGCGTCATATACTGCGCTATATGTATGTGTTTGGGTCTATCGATATCAGGGTGTGTATATAACAGTGTGTGTGGGTCACCTGCTCGTGGCTCAGCCTCGCTCTGGTTCAGGCTCTCCTCTGATTGTAGCAGCTTTCGACTCCAGTGCTGCTCCGCTCTCTCTCTGCTCTCTGGAGAAGAATTGGTGGTTAATTTATTTCATATACACCTTATGCAAGAGCTGCTGTTATAGACTGTTTTTAGTGAATACTACACACAAATCACTGCACAAGAGGGCAGGTGATTTGAGACAGCACAGAGATCACAAAGAGGGAGGATCTTTCAGGCTGACTCAGCCTTACCCTCTCTCCAGTCAGTAAGGCCTTCACCAGCTTCTCTATCCCTGTCTGCAGTGTGGGCCTCACCGCTATGGCTGTAGAGTTTCTTTGTAGCTCACAACACAATCAGTGTGTGTGGTGAGGGCAGCGCTGAGCTGAGCTTTCATGTCGTGGCATCAAGAGCAGTGTCTGAAATTCAAATGTGCTGTCGCCACAGATGGCTCTGCCCACTTTCGCACTTAAGAGCGGGCGCCTGTCACCTCCAGCTCATCTCATTACAGAAAGCAAGAAAATCTCTCTTCTTCTTACCACCACACATAAATGACTGGGGACATGTCCTATGGAATATGACTTGTAGGGATATGTGTTGCCATCAAGACTGATAATACAGATATATTATTGTATATCATGAAGGAAAGCAAATTCATTTACTAACCTGGCTATGCATCAGACTTGAAATTATCCCAAATTTGACTTTTTATAAAGCAATTATTTGACTTAAGTCAATATTCTTATCACTGAGACAGTCATAACTGAAATACTGCAGTAAAACAGATATGACATGGACTCAAAGTTCACACAATGCATATGTAAAAAACAAGCTTGTAGAAATATGCTGCTTTAGCTTAAGACATATTTTTCTTATGGAACATGCACAGACTATAGACCATTAATATAAAGAAAACATGTTTCCATGTTTCCCAACAGCATATTCAACCCATGGGTAAATGGTAAGTGCTGCCCTAGTGCTGACAGAGTACAGGTTCAGAGTAGCTGTGAGCAGATGACAGTGTTTGTGTGGAAATATCCTAATCGTCTCCACAGGCTGTGAATGAGCAAAGCAGTGTAAATAACTTAAGTCTGTATTTATCTGAGGACACGAGTGCGAAGACTGTGTCTGCGCTGCTCACTGTCAACCGGCCCCACACTGACAACTGTTTAAACATTTTTAGAAACACAGTGATGTGAAAAAGCCCTTGTCATGAGTCAGCAAAATATTTAGATTCCTCCAAATGGACAGAGCCTTTTTCTGGGCTATTTAAAGAAACAGCTGATAACAGTTGGGAACTTGTCTCCCAAAGAGAGAGTTTAGGAAATGTCATTGTGCCTCATTGACTGGACAAACCGGCTCCTTTGGGTGCAGACACCTCCATGGGGGCCATGCAGGTGAGCTCCTGTAACACGAGCCATTACTTTCTCATTTGGGAAAACAGTTCAATACGGCTATGTCCTGTTTGGGTTGTCATTACATTTCATCTGCACTGTTATATGTGTATAGTCTATTTGAGATGATATTTCAACATTTTGACACCAAATACCAAATCATTAATCTAATAATAAAAGGCCCTATAAGTCAATATGCTCTACCTGAAGCACTGATTTAGTTCTTCCACATCACAATATTTGTATATCGCTCTGTAGAAAATTTTTGCAAAAATCACAACTTTTAGATCTTTAGAGTTTACATAAAAATGTAGGCTACTGTGTGAAACCACTGATATCATGTTACGTAAGACTGATGATAACCAATGATACCTCTTGTGTTGTAAACAGCAGAAGACATAGTGTATGTGATAAAAGTAATAATAGCAGTAATCATTTATGAGAGCCTGACCTTTACAGCCTTGGTCCACGCACACACAATTTGAAGTAGTATTATTAAAAAAAGGTGGGTTTGAAGTGTGAAGTGAGGTAGAAAAATCAAATGTCACTCAGTCTCTGGCCGATAATAACAAAGGAGCAGATGTACAGATGAGTCACAGAAGCAGAGTGTGACCCCATCGACAAAGGTGAGAGCAGGATAACGAGCTCAGGACTGATACTACAACACACCGCCGGGGCAGTCATTAAGAAGCATCTATAGAAATCTATGGTGAGTTAATATATGCAACAAACAGTAGTAGTGAATCAATGAGCACTGTGGGATTTGACAGTAGAGATGTGTCTGAGAGTCAGAGGCTTTGCACAATATAAATAAAAATACAGTTTAAAATGAACTAATTGTTGAGTATTAACGTAAAGTGATCACCAATATGCCCACTGCACAGCCTTGTGGATAGCCTGGGTAGAATTAGTTGTATGTTTTACAACAAATTATGGATTAAACCAATTACCACAGTAAATGAGCCTGAGTCCAGCATTATAAGGTGCCTATTGCTATACGATAACTCAAAAAAAAAGTTTTTGATACTACTATAACAACAGGTTTATTTCATTTTATTTATCACTGCTGATCTTTTTTTTTTTTTTTTTTTTTTTTTTTTTGTAAATGTATCCGACTAACTGTATTGACAAAATATCTATCCTATTGTATGCCTATTGAGTAGCAGTTGAAAAAGTAGGCTAAGTACTCCATGTATATAGCATTGAGCGATTATGTGTAAAAGAGACAGAGGATCGCGCTCTCACCTGGCCCCCGGAGGACCTGAAGCTGTGCGAGCCAAATAACGGCGAGCAGCCCGACTCCGCAGCAGCACAACCGCTGGAAGGGCCGCCGGTGCCTCCCTGCAGCCGATCTCATGTCTCAGTCGGCAACATATTCTCCACAAACATATGGTACTCGCTTTCTCACGCTTGTTAGTTACTTTCCCTCCAAACGCAGTTTCGCTCAAATCAAACCACCACCAATGCCTCCAGCAACAGTGACTTGTTCTTTCCCAAGTTGTGTTAAAATCTTCGCAAAGACAGTCCTGGTCGTTCCGTTGAGATCTAGCGGTGTTCTACACGAAACTTCCCCGGGTCCGAGTCAGTCAAATCGGGCAGAGACGCAGAGCTGCCCCCGGTCTTCTTCATGTGTGCGGTCCGAAAGGTCAGTGGAGAAACCTGCGAAACAGCAGCAACAGGAGGAGACATTCCTCTCTCTGGTGCGCCTCGGCCGCTCTCCTCCACTGTGCTTCAGTCACCAGCAGGGGGCGACACAAACGTCACCTGTACAGCATGGGACCTCCGTGACGTCACAGCCCCTTAATAAGGTAACAGGTTGCACCCATTAGCGCCTGAAAGCACCCTCCTAAAATATCGTTATTCTTGCACAGTGGAAAGACAGTTAAATATGTGAAGGAGAATTTTGCCTTTATGTTGATGATTATTATTTCAATAGGCTATTTATTGTTAATTTACCTGAGCTGTTATTACAGTCGCAGGATGAATTATAAACACATAAAACACTTTTAAATTGATGCCTATAATAATGTTACCGAACTGAAGATGTTTAATATTCACCGTGATGCTAATGCCTTGCAGCTGTTGCTTTTCTTGTGTCCATCTCCTGCAGGCAGCTCTCTGCAGGAGCAGATTTTGAAGCTTGCCTACTCCTGTGAGCTCCACTCACACAGAACAGCCCCTCAAACGCTTATTATAGGAGTGTTATTATAATACGCAAGCATAAACAAGTGGACAGCTGATTGTGATGGCCCAAGTCCAACATATATGACATAACAGTAAATATGATAACAATTTCAAACATAGTTATTATCAGTGACAACTGTAGGCTTTGAAAACTGTCAAATGTCACCGATATTTTATTTTTCTTTCTTTACTTTACACCAAAATCAATTGAATGCTTGGATAACCATTAGAAAGAATAATAAAAGTCAATTATCTATGGCCATCAGGTTTCTTGGTGATTTGGCGTATGTGTGTATCAAAAGTAAATTCACCCAGGTCAAAACGTGTCAGAACCATTCATACCACATCAGCCTATATTGTGGGTAATTTTGAGAGCAGCATTTGGTTTCTTTTAGCATATGCAGTACATCAGTGGAGTGTAAAACAGCAGACACTCTTCGGTTCAGGCTGTGCTGGTGTCATGAAGTGCCCATGTCCATTGAAAACACATGTAATTCTTCTGGTAAACTCGCGCCTCACATAATGACACATGGACAAACTGTGTCTGTATTTACACTACGGGCCCTGTGTTTGTAACAGAGAGCTCCCCTGAAGACTCCAGTCCCAAATAAAGCCATGGAGCAGGGCACTGTTCCTCCAGCTCTCCTCCCATTGTCAGAGCCCTGGAGATGAATTCTGTGTGCAGTGTTTACGAAGAGCTTCCAGATACACAGTCCTGGGAAGTGTTAGTATGATGTTGTCTTTGGAAAATATCTTTGTGTTTTATCAAGAGGAGCTGTGGTCTACCTCAGTTTAACCATGTGAAAGAAGCACTAAGATGGACTGTTCTTGTAATCTTAAAATATTAAAACTAAAACAATAATTTCATTCAGGTCACAAAACACAAAACGGAGGTCTAGGTGATTTTTCAAATGAGGGTCCACCACTTGCTTGTCTCTTTGGAGATAATATTGCTTGGAATGTTGGAATGTTCCACAATATGGCATTTAGCTTATCTATTCCCGTGGGACTGAGCAAGTGAAACCACCAGGCCAAGTTTCAGATCAGGTCTGTGGAGAAGTGAGATCGCTCACAAACTAGTGTGCAACAAACATTTAACTGAAAGAAAATGCAAGACAGATAAGTTAAATGTCATATTGTGAAGATTCCAAGCAAAGCAATAGCCTCTCCTTGTAGACAGGCAGGTGACGGATCCGCCATCTCAAAAGTTACACAGTGCACCTTTAAAAGTGAATAAACAACCCAATATTGTTCTCATTTTCGACAAACTCAAACCATACAGACTGACACCACTCATCTATTTTTATCATCAATATTATTATTATTCATATTTCTTCATCTGATCACTTTCCCTCACATTGTGGAAGTTGGGAGACCAAGGAATACTTCATGTGCCACAAAACCAAGTTATGTGCAAACAAAGACAAAAAATGCACTCACTAAGCAGAGTAACGTACATTACATTTTCAGGTAGGCACAGAAATGTATAACCATAATAACACTTCAGTCAATGCTGATCAGATGCACTTTTTAAGGCGTACCTAATGGTGTTAAGACTGATTTTACATAGGATATATTTTGCAATTTGGATCATGGAAAAAAATGAACTAAATAAAAAGTTGTTGCTCCTGGTTCACATTTCTTCCCCTCACTAGAGAATCCATATTTGCATCATAAATAAGTTACTTTTTTACATACACGCACACACATACAAAGAGAGCTTGGAAGTTGGTTGGCACATTCTCATGCTTTGACCAGCCTAATACAATCGAATTTACTATACAGGAGACAAAGTTAAACGGCTTGTATTGCGCACCATTTTAAATTCAGGAGCCAGAACTTCTTGGTCTGCATATGTATCCTGTCAGTCCAGCTATACATACTTCAACACACAAATAGATCAATAAGTTGATAGATCTGATATATCTTATTATGCTGGTACCAAGTATTCACAGTGACCCTTGAATGATTTTGTACACAATTTTGGCATCTCTTTGTTGAAGTCAGTTGGATTCACAAAAAGCTGCCAGGACTTTTGAGTCTCTTTTTGTTTTTGTTGGCACTGAGAATAAAACACCTCTAAGTTGGACACAGAAAAGGTGAGGTAAGGTGGTGTAAAGGTAAGACAGGCCACCTCGCTGTATTAAGCAGTTACCTGGACAATCCTAAATATAAGTTCAACAAAAAGTGGCCAGTCCAGCATTTACAAAAAGTGCAGAAATGACATTAAACACACACAACAACACACATTTTGGGGTGGTAAGAGATTTGCCCTCAGTGCTACCACACATCACTAGAGACACTCGCCAAACATTGAGTTAAATAAATAATCTGAATTTCACTATCAGTCCCATGTGTTGCATTTAGACACCTAAAGCTATGTGCCAGCTGAGGGAAAAGCTGCCTAGTGGCATGTCTGTGGTTCAGGCCAGCAGATCTCTACAGTATGGCTGCTACAATAGTGAGGTTTAAACAGCTACAGGCGATACTGCTATTATCATCTGTGTCTATTTAACAAATTGCTGGATAAAAGCATGCATCCAGTTACATCCCTTATTTTCTGGATTTGTACATTTCTCCCTAAAAGTCCAGTTAAATACAGTACTCTTTGACACAGGGCGGAGATCAGAGCTCACTCTGAGCCCAGTCAGTAGCGTCACTACATCCTCACACACTGATCCCCAATATTTTATATTCAAGCCCACCGCAGAACATACCAACACTATGCACTCTTCACATATATTTAGATATACTGTATATACTGTCTATATACACTTTTGGTCAATTCAAAAGACACCACCACACATGCTGTAAAGTGTCTTAATTACCACATTTTCTGCAAGTGCTAATGAGCCCAACTTGATCAAGTATTTGAAGCAGTTACAGTATGAGATGCACATTCACTCTTACACACACTTACTAAGAGAAGCACTCGGACAGAGCATACTGCAGCGCACAGCTGCACAGTGGTCAGTCCATGAAGGTCACAATGTCTCATTGTCTTTATAACAGATTTGCATACTTCCTGCCGACAGGCAGGTCCGGGTTCAGGGTATTAAAAGAACACAGGGTTTGTATGTGTCCAACCATTACACACAGTGTCACTGTGGAGACTGCTGTTGTTTTGCATGTTTCTGATTGGTGCATGTGGCTAACAGCGGCTAACAGGGCTTGTTGACGTTGCACAGGAGCTCGGTGACTTTGATGAGGCGGGCCACTGTGCTCTGAGACTCCTCCTGCAGCCTCTGGTTGTTCTGTCTGAGGCTCTGCACCTCAGCCTGCAGCACGGCCTTGTCCTCCTTCTCCTGTAACACACACGCACAAAACAACAGCTGTCTCTCAGAGGGCTGTGGCAGGACACGGCAGTGACAGAGCTCCAGAGGAAGAAACACACGGACAACAGGTGTAGTGAGGAAATAACTGGCCACAACCAGTGCACAAGTCTCCCGGGTTTATTAGTGACAGTCATTATTGTAAAAATAATGGTATTAGCCAGCTTCACAGGTGCATTTGACATCCACACGTAACTTCACAGACATATAAGGTTTCACTTGAATGATGCTGAGATCATTGGGCTGCCACTGCACATTCAGTAGATTCATAAACACGATGAGTGAGTGGGGGGTGGAGAATGAGCATTTGTATAGTGTTGCATAGTTCCTGTTATTGTTTTCTGGAGGCATAAGGCACAGTAATGGAGTATGCAAATTCTGAAAGGATTATTGGATGTAGTCACATATGTCCTCAAAAGAAAACATGAATGCAGGAGTGAGATTTCAACAGGACAGTACTTTCACATTTAAATACATTTAGACTCAATATACAGTATTGCAATATTTATATCATATTTACAAATGTCAGGAGACAATATAAACAATTTACACTATTTGTCTCTGCTCTGACTGGAGTTAAAAATAAATATCACAATAAAAAAGTGTTCATGAAATTTAGAGCACCTTTTGCAGGTCGTCCTGCAGCTTCTTCAACATGGACTCAAGCTGTGACACCTTCTCCTCCAGGTGGCCCGGAGAGTCACTGCAACAAAATCACAACAGTCTTACTAAAGGCCCACTTCACATTTGAAGATGCGAATACATTTACATTAATCTAAACTCCTGCACCCTCTGATGTGATTGTTACAAAGTGCCCTACACAATTTCCTTGATTGGTTGAACCATCCATCACAATGACAGACTCAAGAGCTCAGAAGAACCATGTCCGGAGCTCTGTAATTCTCAGAAAACAAGCAGCATGTATGAAGCAAACATCATCTGTACAAGAACTTTATCTACATGGAGTATTGGTCATATGCTCGATTGAGGTTCAAGTAATCACCACAAAAACTGCACAAGCAGAAAATACCACTTCATACCCTTGTCTGGGAGAGACAAGCAATAGTTTTTAATTAATTAGGCAATGCACATGGCATTAAATGATCCAAATACATAAATATCGAATAGACCAAAAATTGTGTCAGATCTGTAAATCAATATCCCGCCACTTACCTATCCTTTGAGTCCCTTTGTTTCCCATCTGCTTGATCTCCTGATTGTGATGAATCACTGCCTTTACGATCTGCAAAAAGGACACAAGTTATAAACAAATGAATAAAAATGCACTAAATGTGGTAAAGAGTGTTGAATGCAGGTTCTAACCCTCTCGTGAAAGGGCCTCCAGGATACTGCGGCAGGCTGTGGCCAGGTCTGCAATGGACTGCCACTCCTCTTCAGTCGAGTCTGTCGTCTCTGAGAGGACTGCAAGGGAAGAGGACATGTTAATCACCGTACCAACAGTACAAGTATAAATATAAAGGTGCACTATGATGTAACATTTTGGTGGGGTCAGCTGCCTGCTGTTCACCATGGAAATGGTATAGCTTTGACTGAAGTGCTTCATAGTTTGGAATTAAACACATTTATATCGCATACAAAAAACATACATTCTAACAATGAGCAGATCACCAGAACAGTGTAATTTGACCTGATGACATCACCTGTTTCCATGGAAATAAATTAGATAAGTTAATGCCATACTGTCAAACATTCTAGACAAAGCAATAACATCCCTCCATTTGAAAAGCTACACAGCATCTTTAACTCACATCCACTAACATACTAGTGTAACTGCAGTGTACTACAGTCATGGCACAACTTGACATGAGAACAGTAACAATAAGTCTCCACAAGATGGCAGTATTGCTTTACATACTCTGGATAACCAAGGGAGTACACTATAAATTATGAGGACCTTTAATAATTAATTGTTTAGTGTGTGTTTCACTCAAAAGTAGGTATGATGAAAAGTGATGAAAACATTTTTTTAAAATTACAAAATGAATGAATTAATAAATAAAGAGATGAATAATTAATTAAATAATGCTTTATAATTGTACTAAACAAAGAGACAATTCGTCTGATAAAATACAACATTAACAAAAACAATAAAATAATGAATAAAGATTTATTTATTAATGTTTTTTTATGTCTAATATCCAAAAAGCATAAGCATATTTTTTCTCCCACACTGGATGGCACAGTATATGTAATGGTGCTACAACATAACTGCCCCACAAACATCATAAGAGTTTTGACAGAGCATGTGCTCATGAGGTGGTTAAATGATGAGGATGGTACAGTCCCAGCAGAGGAGCACCAGATGGTGAAAGAGGGGTTCCTTAATTTGGGGCTGCCTAACTCCACCCCTCCCACCACCCATCTGTCCTGCTTTTATCTGGGTGCTGGCAGGGGGTAGCAGTGGAGCAGGCCTTGTATTAGATTAGTGGGACAGGGGAAGTGCACATAAAAGAAAAGGACAAAGAGGTAGCACCACACGATAATAAGCAGAGGTTTAGAGCACAAAGATTGGAAAAGAGGAATTTCTGATTTAAATTGATCTGTAAACATGTGTAATTGTTTAAAATCTGCATCACAATAGAGGAGTCAGCTGTTGAGACACAATGAGATATTTGTTGGAAATCCATCAGATATCCTCTGGGGTACATGGGTATAATCAAAATAATATCTTTTTTTGTTCAAGAATTGTGGCACAGAGGGTCAAAAGCCATCATTTTTGGTTCAAGTAACAGGACAGTAAAATGCATAAAGAGCAGTAAAAATACAGTGTTACTATATTAAGGTGCTCACTTTTTGTGATGGAGTTGTGAAGACTCAGGGCTCGTGAATTCCTTTCAGCTCGGTCAATACATGACATCCGAGTGAGAGAACCGTCACTGGCAGAGGCTTTGTCATCTCCAAAGTCAGTCCCCAGAAACTAAAAACAAACAGGGAATAAAGAAATGTAAATAAACAAGAAAATACAACTGTTCTTTAATCATTCATTTATTAATTAATTTATGTATTTATTTATATTCAGTCTGTCACCTGCTCCTCCTCCAGTGGGACTTTAGGTTTGACGGCCAGAATCAGATCAGGGGTGGCGTCTCTCAGCTCTCCCACATTCTCATAGATGTGGTGGTCAATCTTCAGAGGGTCATTATCATATACATCACTGCAAAATTAAAAATACTATGTTACATATAATAGTGTATATGATATAATATGGTTGACACAGTCTGGGATTTGTTTTGGAGGGGTGGCGGGTATGTAATTCACTTGACATATAATAAAATGTCTTAATCATTTATTGTGGAATAAAAAAATTATAAAAATAATGTATTTTTTGTGTGCAAATGTTACCTATAGATGAAAACAGGAATCTCAGTAGACAATTTAAAAGCATAATTTAACTTTCAAAATAAATTTCAGATACAGTAGGTTACATTAGAAACAAATTATGACATGTATTGTTGCAATATTATATTGTTTCATTTGGTGTTGCTTAAATAAAGAAAAAAAAATATTAAAAAAGAAAATAAATAAATAAATAAATAAAATAGACACAACCCACTGAAAAGAAAAAAAGAACCAATTATGAAGCCCCCTCCTATGGTCAAAACATTTAAAAACATACCCATCAAATGTGTCTTTGAAGGAGGGCTGTCTCTCCAATGAGAAGCTGCGTGTGAGCTGTGTGGAGGACTCGTCTTGGCTCTGATTGGCTGGTTGGTCCTGCAGTGATGTTGCTCGTAACAGAGGTAAACTGGGAGGCATGAGGAGTGATTCTTCACTTTTTTCACTCTGCTTTTTGGTGCTGGGCTCGTTTGTATTTCCTACATCTGCCTCATTGATGTCCATTTGGATGACCCTGTCCTCGTCCTCTGCCTCCTCCCTCTCATCCAGCACCCAGGCCTCTCCAGACTGGTTCTCTTCAGTTTTGCACTCGGCATCCATGATGGCCTTCTGATAGAGCTCTGAGAAACTTCTACAGATAAAAATACAAAGAGATAAAACTACACCACATAAAAATAAAAATACATGAGTAGAATTGATTTTTTAAATGCACTAACATAATTTAACATTTTGTTTGTAAACCAGAATGTTGAAGAATAGTTAATAATAGAAGTGGGACTACTGACTTCCTGTTCAAGGCTGCAAAACTGAATGGTCCTTTGCATTATGTCTCTTTAACAATTTACATGTACTGGGCTTGTAAAATAATAATAATGTGTTTTATTGGGACAAGATTACCACTAAAATTATCATTTTTAAATTGTCATAGTTGATTAAAAAGACCATGTACTTCAAGTAAGCAGTTACATCATAATGGGAATAATTTTGACCTTTGGTAACACTGTGTGAAAAATTTTATTTAAAAAAATAGTTTTTTTTGGTTAAATTAAAACATGCTAATTTGAGGTCTGGCGCTAAAGGGACCTCTAATTTTGGATTGGTTACATTTTTAAAGTGGCTTTTACTGACCCTCACTGACTTGCGCTGAAAAGAAAGTGTGCCAGTAATGGCCCCAATGGCTGTGTGCACAATTAGAGGTCATTACACCATTTGATTGGTTTGTAGCCAGCAGGTGTATAACAGGGCAGCGCTGACATATTCTTTCTTCAGATTTTCTCCACAAAATCCCTCTTATAAACCACCCCTTCCTGTCTCCTATTCTTGTTTGATTGTGCCATTAGTGGCCTCATTAGCTCGTTATAAAAGCTAGTCTTGACTTTATCTCCAGCTCAGCTCACCTACGAGGCTTTCCGTTCTCGTCTGGTGGGATAACGGTGATGTGGATTTTGTGTGCAGTCCGGAGCAGCCTGGTCCTCTCCTCAGGAGTCAGATAAACCAAAGAGTGACCACACAGACGGACTACTCGAGCCCATAGCTGCAGACCCCCGCTCTCCGCGTAACAGAAGCGCTGCAGCTCCGTGACAAAGCCCTCCTCGTTCATCAAGAAACCGGGTTGACCCACGCCATCACGTAGGGGAGTGACTTCAAGAGCCTCACAGCCACGGGTCACCAGCTGAGAATAAACGAGTTTAGAAACATGTAAGGTTAAAGTATATTTTATAGCCTTTGACTGATCCTTCATGGGGCCCCGGGTCAACCTGTCAGGAGCAGGTCCATGCCTGGGACACATCTCCAGATCTTGATCTAAGCTTGGTCAGTACTACCTTAGCTGGAGGATTTCAATGCATGCGTGCATTTTTTTGTGGTTGTTTATACATTAGGCATGCAAATATACTAAATAAATGTGCATAAAGTTAAAATTATGTTTTTTCATGGGTTTATGTTAATTGACCATACTTTCGAGATTATAAGGAGATAAAAAATATATTTAGAAATCTATAGAATTACACTGAAAAATGACAATGTTTTATTTTCGTCACCCAATCTTTGTATCAATGTAGAAAAATTTTATATAAAATTATAATATAAATGTTTTGTCATTGAAAAGGCAAATGACTGGAATTATTACAGTGCTCAAAGTAAAACATTCTAGACAGCTTCATAATTGTAATAAAATAAGAATGGGCCCTCTGAGATAAAGTTCAATCAGAGAAAATTATTGCTGTGCTCCTCCGAACAATTATTAGTTAAGAGACTGAAGTGTTACCTACTCTGCTAATGTGCCTGCAATTATCCATCTAATATTGCATGAAGCTTAAATCAATTCTCCCCCAAAAAGCAAAATGTTGCATTAAAGGTAGACTATACCTTTAATTTTTTTTTTTTAATAGAACGTTTGTGGTGAATGGTCTGACACCTGCTTTGCTCCATGGAGAAGTAATTACTTTGCCTAGAATGTAACACCTTCAAGCAGGCCAAGTTACAGGTCAGATCTGGGGAAAGGCAAGCCTATTCAGATATACAATTTAATGCCAGACTAGGTAACATTCCATACAAATAAATAACATTTCCTTGGAAACAAGCAGGTAACATATTCCTCTTTTCCTCTTTTATTTTCAAATTAGAGTGAGGATAGATAGACTCACCTCCAACCTCTGAACCACCTCCTTTATGTCCTCCACCTGCGCCTCCGGGACACTCATGGACACCGACTCCCCTCGCTCGTAGAAGATATCCAAACTTGGACCCCCGTCTTTCACCTCAGTCACTGCCTTCCAGCCAATCACGTCCCGACAAGAGCAGTTAAACACTACTCTTCTTGTGCATCTTTCTATAAGAACTACTGATTCTGCAGACACCCCCAGCAAACAGGACAGTCTATGTTCCCCTGCCTCCACTTCGTCCCCACTACTGACCAACACTGCCCAAACCAGAGCCCCAGCGCTGTGTAACTCTGCTCCTTTGGCCCCTTTTTGCTTGTCTTTTCGTTTGCCCCCAAGAGAAAGCAGAGGGAACTTGGTGGATGAATCAATAGGTGTGGTGGTGACATAATTCTCTGCTAGATCTTTGAGGTATTCTTGTCGTGTCCTGGTGGCCATGGATCTAAATTTCTCAGACTTCTCAGCAGCGTTTTCGGCATTCACTGCCTTTGCCAGGAGGAAATCGCGGAAGGCAGAAGATCGGGGGAAGCGTGCCCCCTTGGGAAACAGTGGGCCGAATAATGGCATGTCTTTAGAGCGTGTCACAGCCACCCTGAGCAAAACAGGCAAGAGAGGAATGAGAGGGAGAAAAAGAGTCCAGCCACTGTGTCAATCTGTCTCTGTCTAGTTTTTGGGCGAAACAAGTGGTGCCCAGAATAAGAAACCTCCAACATCCACATAAAAAATGTTACTGCATCATTATATGGTTTGGAGCAAGTTTTGTATGCAATATAAAACAATATAATTCTTACGAGAGTGTGTTGTTTAGAGCTTTTCTTCAGCATTCACAACAGGGGGCTAAGGCTGATTTTAAAGGGGCACAAATTTGTTACAGTGAATTTGTGATGCATATCGAATATGCACTTCAGCTGAATGCTTAAAACTAGGTCTCTTGACAGTAAGAGTGTGCTAAAATATCAAAATCTCAGTATTGTTCAGTATTGTTATCATGGATTATGAGTGAATATTTTTTGTTGTATTTTACCAAATTATTTTGTGCCTGGTTTATTCCACATTAACTTTGCATAAGCAGTGGTTTGACAAAGAAAAACTGTTGATAAAATGTTTTTGATTCTTAAAAATAGTGATATATATCGATTATCTTATCTATTGCCATATTGTGATAATATCGTATCATGAGCAATGTATTAAGTATCATATCGAATTGTGAGGGACCCTGCGATTCCCAGCCCTAATTGTTAGCCAAATGTCAAAATAACTGATCAATCACCAAACTCAGGGGATTCACTTGATGTCATACAATTTGTAATTTACTAAATACATTTATCATTTTGAAAATGTAAGATAGCGTGATTGTTTCAGTAGTAGAGTAACTTATTTACAAACATACTTATCCCCTACTACAAACAAGTAAATAACCAAACATACACTGAACAGCAAATATACAATAGCTAAATAAATCCTGTGTCTTCTTTCTGTTTGACATTTTCAGTTCTATCTTAAATATATTTAAATTCACATTTGCGTTCTCAAAAACATTATGCATAACGTATAAGGAGATGTGCTGACCTGTAGTAGGTGTTTTCTGTGCAGGGCTCGTGGACCTGGACAATGATGAAGACATGCTGAAAATGGGAGCGGATGGATTTGGGGGTGAAGGGCAAAGCGCCGGGCTCTTGGAATACGATTGTCACAATGTCATTCCCAATGTGCCTCTTCCTCAGCAGCTAAAAAGAGAACAGACAAAAACTGTCACCCAATATAGCACAAGTTTAAACCATAACAAAAATAGAAGAAGGGATTAAAAATGGACCAGCTCACTAAAATAATTATGAACCTATGAAAGCAGCTCAAAAGCAAAAAGATTTTCATGGGTGAATGGAAATGTTATATTGTGCATGTGATACACTTACTTCAGTAAACTTACAAGTCCCTTCTCAAATTTATCTATGAATATTTAATAAAGAAAAAAGACTAAGATTTACATAAATAGAATTCCCACCGCAGATTGTGTGCTTTGCGTGCCTCACCACATAATATTAAGACAAAAAAACAGATTAGGATAAAAGCATGTTTTTTGTTTTAGTTGTTTTGTTTATTATATTATAGATGTGTCCTTGTGACCAGGCTTGCATCTTCACAAACTTGTCTCTATGGAAATGTACCACAGTATGGCATAAAATGTAGCCATCTCAATGAAAAATGCTCTAAAGTATGGTTTTAAGTCTACTTCCACGGAATCATGCAGGGGAGATGTCACCTCCAGAAAGTGTATTTAATAATTCAGTAATAGGGCATTTTTAGGCTAAATCTGGTACAAAAAAACAAAACAATGCATAGTTTGTCTGTACCTGTTGTGTGTTATTGGATGTGTAGGGCAGCATGGTGGACACATGGAACATAATCTCGTAGTCCTGGTACCGTGTGTAGAGTGAGTGCGTTCCAGTTGAATCCGCTGAAAAAACAAACAAAAAAAGGCATATATTATTATCTCCATATAAACACAATAACTCAAAATGGATGGATATGTCAACCCCATTTTCAGTGGTCTCCTGCACTCCACTGAAGGGTAAGCAGCTGGCAGATTATCAGCAGTGACTATGCTATTTTGCAGGCATTACTCAGATTACATGGAGATAGGTAGGAGTTATCTTTGGTGCACTGATGCCCTTCGGATATTTGTAACAAGGTGAGACAGGGCACATCGCTGAGTGTGTAGTAGTGTGGTCATAATACTGCTTTGATACTACAATAAATAAAATATATTTAAAAAATAATAAATAAAAATATCACAAATTTATAGTAGTTATTTTAATCTTTCCATATTGTCTTATTAGTTTTGATATAGATTAATGCTATTCAGGAAAGGTACAATTTTGTAGTATTTGGGTGATTTTTTCAGTATTGGTACTTGTCCAGATCAGTATAAGATTATGCCTTTATTATAAAGGCTAATTATAAGATATTAGCCTTTACTGTCCTAATGAGTTCATTTGTCCTCTGCATTTGACCCATTCTTCGCTAGCAAATGTTCAGCTATAGACATGATAAAGACTACCTTAGCAGGAGGACGTTATCTACTGTGCATGTTTGGCTTTAGTTTTATTAGTTTATTAAACATGGACAAAGTACATTAATAAACATTTCTGTAAATGCTTATAATCTGCTGTTCCGGGACAGTTGTTGAAAAGACACCTTAAAAATCAAAGGCAATATTAGAATCCACAAAAACAAAGCAAACATGGAGTTGCATCTCTATGATTCAGAGTGAATTAAAAAGTACATTACTGAGAATGCTGACAGGTTAGATTAAGAAGTCATTTCCTTGGGTGTATTTTAAATGTGTTCTATGTGGCCATTTCCCTGATGACCACAGGTACTGTATTCCATTGATTTTTATATTGATTAGTATTCAAGTATAGATTTTTTTTACAACCCTAGCTTATTAGTGTGTTTGGAGCTCACTCTTGTTGTCCAGCTGAGCACGGTATTTCTCCCAGCCTTTGAGCCGAACTCGCTCCCCCAGCAGGTCCAGGAACTCCTCAAATGCTGGTCCTGAACTCTCGTTGTTGTACATGTCTTCTTCTGAGCTCTGCCCAGATCTGCAGTACATGATGCCCACTTTACGCTGGAAATTCAGCTATAGGAGATAAAAAACAGAAGATTGTTAATCTTTTTTGTGTAGGATTTACATTTAATATACACATACCCTTGACGCGATGCTTGCTGTAATACTGCACAGTAAACAGTTTATTATACTGTATATTATAACTTGAAGGTCTAGGAGATTACTGACCTCAACAAATGTGTTACAAATCCTCTCAAGATGAAGAATCCTATAAAATACTGTGACCCTAATCCACAAATAACACATAAAACACCACCCCCTATTATTTTTTGCCACATGCCACAATATTGTTTGTAGTTGCCAATGTAAACAAATGCAAACTCCAAAGAAACTGTCTAAATTATCCGTATGACGTCAGTTTAAGGTGATTTCAAGTTTCAGTTCAAATCAATGACACTCTCTGTCCATTATAAGTCTGTGAAAATCCAGAGAAAAGGTTTTAGAAAGAGCCAGTATGGCTGTCCCAATATCTATGTGATATCTACACTGACTGCCCTGTGTCACGTTAGTTAGCAAAAAACTACTGGAAACTGTTAAAAGTTAAATGAAAGTCGGCCTGTAACCTCTGATAGGTCCTATCTTGCGGGATCAATGTCAAAATCTAATTATTCAATAGTTATTTGGACATTTTGGAAAAAGTCAAAATCCGACCATAACCTGCTAATGTTGTAGTTAACAAATGAACGCCTACCAAGACACTCATCTGCCAGAGTGAACAGTGTTGTATCTTTGTACTGACCCCTTGTTCGTCGAGTTTGAGCAGCGTGTCCCTGACTTTGGGAGAGTTGGAGGCGAGGCGCAGACAGTGCAGGTTCAGTTCAGGCATGATGAACTCCAGCAGCCTTTTAGGAGATAAGCCTCTGGGGGTGGTGTGCCGCGCAGCAGAGGGCACTGACTCCTCTAGGATAGAGCCTCGCAATGTCTTCATCTGTAAAGAGAGATATTTACTCCTCTCTTCAAGCACTGCCATTAAGTAAAACAGTCTGGATTACAGCTTAACATTTACCTCTGTGGTGCGAAAGATGATTCTGTAATTGTACTGAGATCCACTGGACCCTTCCTTTTCCTCTCGCCGGAAACTAATTGCCACAGGGCCCAGACGGTCATCCATCCCAAAGAAATTTTGATGTTCTACCATTGAGAATTAACAAATCTACGTCATTTAATGCCCAAACAATTTGGTCATTACATGTATCTTCACAATTACTTATTAATTATAAAGCATGTGTTTATGTGTTCTGCTCCGTGGTGCATACCTTTCATGTAGAAGTATTTGCGATAGTAGTGGGCTCCCAGGTCTGCATGCTCTATGAAGTAGTTACTCTTGCCCTGCTGCTGGACATTGCTCTCTCGGGGTTCCTCCAGCACGGACACAGCATCATTGGGGGTCCTTAGACTGGACCATGGCCTTTGTCTGCCGTGGGACTGGCCCAGCCCCACCTGCTCCTCTCCCCCGGTCTCATTACGGAAATGTGGACAGCTTAACAGCAGCTCATTGTCATTACCGTCACCTTCATCCAACAGCATGGACTGCTCGGAATCGTCCACATTAGCCCCGTTAGTGCTCCCTCCCTGTGCAGGAGAGGATGCATTGCCCTGGGACAGTGGTCGGAGCTGAGAGGCGGCTGAAGCTCCAGATGTAATGTTCTTTTTGCGGCCGATGCTGTCTCTGTTTGTTGCTGCTTCTGTGAGGTCAAACAGGATGCTCTGAACGTCGTAATGGGCAAAGTTTCTCACCCAGGCCCCCCCGCCGATGTCACATGATGCAAGCTGTGGGACAGGTGTGGGCTTGGTTTTCTTTGTGAGTCCCTCTGGTTTCGGAGGCTTGACTGGTTTAGGGGACTCTCCTGCTAAAGCAGTGATGCCTTTGAAGAAACCGTCAGGCTCTGGGGGGTTGCCCTTGAGACCTAAAAGCAGGAAAGGGTCCTTAAAGCGCAGCTCATTGGGACTGAGTGGGCCCTGCTCCTCTGTGCTGGGCTCAGGGGTCTGTGTCTGTCGCTCCAGAGAGGACAGACTACCATACTCTCTGTGCAACAAACCCGAATCTCCCTGTGCCCCTGTTCCCACCTTCTCCACTCGCACCGCTTTGCCCCCCGCCTTCCCAGATGAGTCCAAGTCCCCTAACGTCACATCACTGTTACTCCTCTGCATGATGTGTCCTCTGCCCACAGCTCTCAGGTTTAACCCCACTCGACTTGGGGTAAGACTGTCTGCCTCTGTCCCATTGCCTTCCCTTCTTGGAGGCCACTCCACCACACCTGCATCCCTCTTGGGGTCAAAGTTCACAGTCGCAATGGGGGGACGCACATTTTGACGGCGGAACTTGCGAATGAAGAGGTCATCTGACTGCATTGTGCCTGTAGATCTGACTCCAGACTTAAATAATTCCTGATGCTTTCACTGTCTCTAAGGTGTGACTGTAAAATGGGAACAGTGCAACAATCCCAGCGTGAGACGAATATAGAGCCTTTTCACACCACTTAAAACACAAATGCCTCTTTGACTTGAATTCTGACGTGAAACTATTGAGTCTGAAAGTGAGAATGAAAAAGTTTGGAGGTGTTACTCATAGCACGGGCCCCACAGGCGTGCATATGTGCAGGTGTGATGTACTTTTCCAGGAGCTTCTCATCATAGAGCATGTGTCTTCTCTATCCTCTGAGCAGGAGAGGGTCTGTCTGTATCAAATCTAATGTAGGGTCCATTCGTGTGCACTGCAGCTCTCCTTTTGTCTTCTGGCCACCTAAACGAGAACACACACACAAAAAAAAACATGTATTATTAATATTATGATCTCACAATAACAAATCATTTTGCATATTTTTTTTTACACATCCAGATGAATTGTTGGTCCCACTTGTTACCTCAATGATTGCTCAGATACTTCACAGATATTCCAAGGTAATTGCATTAGCGCTAATTGTGCTTAATTGGGGTTAATTTGTTCGTCGAGAGTTAGTTAAAGGTCAGTCAACTACAGAGCACAATTTACCACAGGATTGCTTACAAATATAGAACTGATGCATATAGCCAAACAGATCTGGCCATTTTCTCTTCTATAATAATAAAGTAATGATAGGGGCTAACCTTGTTAATTTGGTATATTATGCATTTCCTAAAATGCATATTGCAATTCTTTTGGTTTAGGGTCCATAACTTACTTGTCTTCACCGGAGATGTTAATACCTTGAAAGGTTTCACAGTATGGCATTGTCTGTGTCCAGAGAGCCCAGTTACACATTTTTTTGCAATTAAAACATCTAAATGAATAAATGCTAAATTTTATGTCATATCCTTGGAGTGCCCTCCACCAGGCACATTACTACAAACCCCAAATGCAGCTTAAGTGTTGTGCAGACACAAGCTCCTCATACAACAACCACTTTGCCTCAGAAAACCAAATACATGACATTTATATTGCCCTTTGATTTCCTGTTAACACTTAACACAAATAGCGTCACTGCAGACTTAAAACCAATCACACCTGGAACAAACTCACAATAGTGTGAACATATGGGGGGGAGTTTCCTGCTTATGAGAAAACCAAAAAAAAAAAAAACCACAAAGAAGCCTTCTATAGACAAGTTTCTAATGTTTCTGACAATAGTATTATACTTTCAAAAGCTTCATACGTGACTTACCCATTTTCTGTTTTGTTTACTTCAGACAGTGTCTATCTTTGCCTGGTACTAACCAGAACTGACGTCAAACAACTAAAGTCGAAACCTTTAGCAGCTCTCAATCAGATGTGTCTTCCTGTGTGCTGCACGCGGTCATGCATCTGTGTTATCTGTTGACTCTCTTTGGCCCGCAGCCTTATGAGCAGGTGCAATGGTGCAAGCTGCAACCAAAAAGAAAAAAAGCTAGACAGAACAGACACTCGCTAACATAGATAAAAGTCTGCAGCCCGTAGAGAGGAAGTCACAAGAAATCTTTGTTTCCTATATATCCTTCCTTCACGTTCTGTTCATTTCCTTGCAGTTGGATGGAGGGATCATAAAAGAAGGATAGTACTTGTTTAACATGTGCACATTTCTTCAGTTTAAAAATAAATTGTATTTAAAAAGAACACTGTGAATGCTATAGTTGTTGAGAACACAATCCATTTACTTTCTGTTTTTCATTTTTTTAATTGACCATGCACTATGTAATTTTTATGGTAAAAGGTCCACCTGCTTCTTTATTTGGTAATGTTACTGTTTTGACACAAACGTTTCACAATGTGGTATTAAATCTATTTATCTAACATTTATTTAATTATGAGTTCTTGTTGCCCGTAAACAGATAATGTAAACTCCTTGTTTCCATGCATAAAGATAAGCAGAGGGCCATAACATTTTATCTAGGCGAAGCAATAACATTTATATGGCAACAGCAAATGACGGACATTCCACCAAAAAAGTTAGTGCACAGTGAAGCACAATTTATAAAATATTCATGAAGGAAGTTACTAAAAGATTTTTGCAAACATTGTTCATTTGTCTATAAATAGAGCAGTAGTAGCAGTAGCAGTGTGAAGGCCCCATTGTATGAAAGTTATACATAGATTATCTATTGTGTGCAGTCTGGCTGTAACTCTAATAACAACAGCTTAACCTTTGAGGCACTCAGTATTCCAAAGTCTCAATAGAATGGCCACATCTTTCACTGACATTTACGTCACTCTTAGAAGGCTCTTAATCACTGTGCTGGAGTAAACTCACTCAATGTGTTGTTATTCTTTAAAAAGAACACTGTATTTGATTGTGTCTTAACTACATTTATGACAACATTGGTGAATAATGAACCACTGTGCATTGTTAACTGAGACTGTTGTCAGAACTCCATTCAAATGAGGTCTGCAAAAGGTTAACAGCAAATAATTCATTTTGGTATGGCACCAAAGTTTTGAACAGTAATATGCATCTTAGAGATTTCGAGATAAGGATAGAGGATAACAACTTAAACGACACTGACATAAGAAGAAATTAGTTGCTGTTAGTTCATTATTTTTATTTTGAGATACAAGTTGATGTTTAATGTTTAATATTTATATTCAAAACAATATATGAAGAGTTCCTTTGCAAAAACAGACAACTGCCATTTGTCTTTGGAGGCTTGAACTTAGTGTAGTAATATTTATTAAAAGCCAAATACATTTTACTGTCCCATCTCTTGTTGATAAAATCCACTATGGCCATTTTTCAAGAGATATCTGTTTTTGCTATTGAACTCTTCATATATTTTACACAGTAGAGTACATAATGACCCTAAAGTCTATCTCCTCTGACATGCTTTCAACAGTAGCACTTAAAGCACATTTTCAGATATATATGGAAAAAACAGTAATGCAATTTTTAAACCTTGCAACACTTCACTATATATATTGAAATAATTCAGAAATGGAGCTGAAATGGAGCATTGCGCAGAATGTTTTAAGAGCTGAGGATGGAGCTCTTCCTTGTCTCCTCTGCTACTTTTATCTGACACTTGGAGGACACACAGCACAATCTGCATGGTGCCAGTCCTACACGGGTGCATTAAAACCCCACTCATGTTTCTTTCTGGGAACCTTTCGCAAACATCATTACGTGCACCACACAAATGTCTTTTTCCCTCTGTCCAATCATTACCACCACGCAGCAGCATTGCAGTGTCTCCGAGCCATGTGTGAGCGATCAATTTTCTCATCCGTAACAAATAGTGGGAATATAAAAAATATTGGCGACGGGCTATTTTTTACACGAAAATTAAATAAATAAGCAAAGATGCAAACTAATCTCTCCAGAAACCAGTACTGGGTGAACTTTGACATATATTAGTCAGGCCTTTGTACCAATCCTATATACTGCAAAGACCCCCACCCAGTAAACCCTAGTTTCCATGGCAACGTGTTTGGTGTTTCTGTGCATCGAGTAACAGGCCTTGTCTACTGGTGAACAGGAGAATCATTGTAACAGTTTTGGGGGAAAAATGCAAACACACAAATCTTGTACATTAGTATGTAGTTTGCTGCATCAATTAGCCTTTTTATTCATGACTTCATAACAGTGTTTTTGTGTGAACTATTTTGCACGACGTAATATTCCTTGTGTTTCGCAAACTGTAATAGTAGCGTTAATAATAAATGTATTTTTTAGCTGTGTAATTTGCATTTAATCAAGATCAGGAATCCATAATGATATGCTTGGGTCTTTTAGGTCTCCAGCCAATCCTGTCAGTAAAGCATGTGGTTTGAAGTTAGAGTTCAGACTTTTATTGGATATTTTATTCTTCTTTGTATTAAATATAAATTATTAAAAAGCTACGTTGTTAATGTTCAGGAAAGTACAAAGACAAAAGAAAATCAAATAAAAATTGTGATTGATCAATATATTTAAAAAAAAGTGATTCAGTCATATCACCCAGAACCTAGAATAGTATATAGTAGTAATAGTGACAGAAGTAGTAGTTTTCTTGCAACATGTCTGTTAACTATTGTGCAGTAGTTACAGTCTGTTATCACTGACCTTGCCTAAGCTTCTGCAAAAGTAACACAGAGTAGGAGTTTTGTTAGAGTGAGAGTACAGTACAATACAGTATCTTTAATGCAAATACTACACACTAAATATTCCATCAAATTCAGTATTGCAGATTGCAGTACATGTCTAATGGTGCATAAGTATTTCCCCTGTGTTGAACAATATGCAAAATTCATAAACAGAGCATGTGAAAGCTTACAGTGTTCTTACCATTGCTGATAAGACTTTTCCTTCTTGCTCAAAACTTTCACTGATCCAGGTGTCTCAGATACACAGTTGCAGCATTTTGCGACTATCAGTTCTACACAGACAGTCTTCAGTCCTGTCGGTAAGTGTCTGATGTGCCTCAAGCAGAACAAAGTGAAGAGGAACTGAATACATGTCCCTTCCTCTTGTATTTGTGGTTCACAGTATGCAGTTGGTCTAACACTATTTAAATGTCACATCTGTCAAACAAGACCAGAAAAATTACCTTTGAATTAACTCGATTTTAGTGTTTTCAGTTATTGTGAGATTAAACATAATTTTGTTCAAATGTTGCAGGGACAATAGTTTATTCTTATTTTATTATTCTAAAATTCTCACAGTTATTTTTGTGATCATATTATGAGCTGAATAAGCTTCCTTATAAAATGCTTACACTCATCCCTCTCCATTTTTCACACATCAACTTGGAAGAGAAAATCTTCTATTGCTATCCAATACTGTATATCACACCAACTAACAGGTGCCATAATGAAGAGTGAATCTATGTCCCTCTAAGTGTGGATTTTCTTATATAATGATGATATATAAACGACAATGGGAAAACGACAGCACAGGAATAGTTAAATCAAAATGTTGCGTGGCCTCATAAAAAGACAATCTTGATTTAAAGTCTCCACAGATTAAAGACGTCAATTTAATCTTTTTTTTTTCTGAAAAGCTTAAGGAGATTACATGACCTTATGTCACAGCTGCATCGTTTCCAGAAGTAAGTCCACAGAAAATCAGTGTCCAAAGAGTAGGCAGGGCAATACACTCAAAAAGATAACATTTAAAAAAATATAAGACTACCTAATGTTGGTTTTTACAACATTTGAACTTGTTTTGGGCTATTTAAAGATGCACTATGTAGCTTTTAAGGTGGAGGGTCCGCTACTTGCTTTTCTCCAATGGAGATGTTATTTCTTTGCCTGGAATGTTCGACAGTAGGGTATTGAACATATCTCCCTTGCATTTGCTCAATTACAGGTGCTTTACA